AGTGATTAAGTGGTAATTCACTACCCCAAAAAGCTTTAGACCTAGATGGTTTTATAGGTAAGCTATACTAAACTTCATAGATCATATAATTCCTACATTTACCACTTGCTTCAGAAAACAGGAGGATCGGGAAAGCTATCCCATTTGTTTTACAATTTATTGTAAAATCTTTATACTAAAACCAGATATGAATTATACAGATACAAAAATTATAGGTGTCACTTTGAATCATGGGCATATAGAACCTAAATGAAATATCAGGCCAACTGTATTATAGTGAGAGGTTTATCCCAGAAACCAGAAAGAGTTCTGTGGCAAGAACCATCACTACTTATGTACCACATTAATGGACTAAGGGGGTAGGAGGAGCATGATTATTTCAATAGATTTAAGAAAGTATTAAATATAGTTCAATGCCTATTCATAATGAAAGCTCTGGGAAAATTAGGAATTGAAAAGAATTTCCTCAATGTGATAGACACTGTTCTCCAAAGATCTACAGGAAAAATCTGCTTAATGGAAAAACTTTAGGAGCTTCCCTTTAAAATCAGAAACAAGACAGAGATGCTGGCCGCCACCACTGTGGCTTACCAGAGTGGCAGAGGGCCTGGCCAATGAAGTAAAATAAGAAAAATAAGGATGGGGAGCCAAAAAGACAAAAATTATTATTTGGAGATTATAGAAGTCTATAAAGAACCTAGGACAGGGATGGGGAACCCGTACCCCCCACCCCGACCTAGAAGAATAAATGAAAAATTAGAGGTATTAACAAATGTCAGAAAAGTTGCCCAGAAAATGGAATATCACAGAATAATGTAACAAAAAATGTATAGGACTTTTATTTTTAAAAGTTTATGATCCTAAACATGAATATAATGTGAATAAATGGAATATTTTGTTCATGGATGCAGAACGTAATATTGTAAAAATGTCAGTTCTTCCACAAATTATAACTTCAAAAATATAACAAAATCCCAGAAGGATTTTTTCTGAAGATTTACAAGCTGATTCTAAAATTCGTCTGGCAGAATAAATACCTACTATTGTCTAAATCAGTTTCAAAAAGAAAAGCAAAACAGGGGAATCGCCCTCCCCCAAATAATTTTGCAAAACATAGTGAATAAAATAGGGTGACGCTGGCACAAGAACAGGCAAACAGACTGATGGAGTTGAATGCCAAGTCCAGAAGCACAACAAAGTGCATACGAGAAGCTGTTTTTTGAGTGAAGTAGCTTCACAGGTCGGGGAAAGATGGATTTTATTTTTGTTTTAGTGGAAAATTGCTTTAGCGAAAGTAGGGAGGAGAGAGAAATAAAGTTATATCCCTGTCTCACCCTATATAAAAAATTTCTAGACCAGTCGAGGTGGCTCACGCCTGTAATCCTAGCACTCTGGGAGGCTGAGGCCCGAGGAACGCTCAAGGTCAGGAGTTTGAAACCAGCCTGAGCAAGAGCGAGACCCCAGTCTCTACTGAAAATAGAAAGAAATTATTTGGACAGCTAAAAATATATAGAAAAAATTAGGCATGGTGGCACATGCCTGTAGTCCCAGCTACTTGGGAGGCTGAGGCAGAAGGATTGCTTGAGCCCAGAAGTTTGAGGTTGCTGTGAGCTAGGCTGACACCATGGCACTCTAGCCCAGGCAACAGAGTGAGACTCTATCTCCAAAAAAAAAAAAAAAAAATTTCCAGAGAGATTGAAGACCTAAATGTGAAAAACAATAGATAAAAAATGTAGGATAATTCTGAGAATTTGGGGTGGGGAAAGATTTCTTCCAGAAAAGACCAATTATAATAGAAAAATAGACTGATCTATGTCAAAATGGGAAAGCATTGGGTAGCTGCTCCCTAAATATCAGTGTCTATGATTTCATCCCCTGCTCCAGATTTACTCAGGGGCAGTCAAGAGGAATGAGAGTGAAGGCAGGTCCTGGGATCCAGCTAAGGGAGGGCGTTCAGCTTCCTACACAGAATAGGACACTATATAGTCTTTTATTTTCTTGGACTGAATTGCTGCTGTTTTCAGGGGGTTCAGACACATCTATGGTGGAACCTCTTAGTGAAGAGCCTCGAATACAGGTGTGGGTGGCCAAGAGACACCATGAAAACTTCATCAGTGTGGGCCTTGGTAAATCTGTTCCTGCCCACGCTTTTGAGGTGGGTGTGGGTCACCCTAATGCAAGAGGTGGGCTGGTCATTAATACCAGCCCTGACTAAACTCCACAATCAGGCCAGGAGCTTGTTAAAAATAAGTTGCAGGGCCCCGCCCTGATGTATTCTGATTCATCAGGTGTGAAGCAGCTCAGGAATCTTCGTCTGACCAGCTCCCAAGGGCGGCCGGGGTTGGACCTGCCAAGCGGCATCACCTTTCCAGGGTCCAGAGTCAGACTCAGCTCCCAAGGATGCAGAGCCATGTGGGCTGGGATGTGGAAGGGGCGTGCATGTGAGGTGTGCCGGGCGGGGTGGGAAGTGCAGTGACTGGGCTGGGAGGAGGAGGGTGAGCCTTGGTACCAGGATGGCCTGTCACCTGCCTGCCTCCTTCGCAAGCCTGGGAGCTCCTTGAGGGCAACAACCTTGCATTTATTCCTACATTCATTCATTCCACAGATATTTATTAAGATGTTCATAGGCTAGGGAGAGGCTCTAACAGGGAACTAGGCCCCGTCAGCCCTCCTAGAGCTTCTGGAGCAGTAGGGAGGCAAGCACTAAGACCAAGCAGCTCTAATGATGTGTGTCAAATGCTGCGATGGACAGCCAGCAGCCACCTAATGGGGACACCTGTCGCCAGCTTGGGAGACCTGGAGAGGCTTCCTGGAGAAGTGAAGTCTAAGATGGTGATGAATGAAGCGATCAAAGGGGGGAGTAGGGAAGACTGTTTCCGACAGGGGCTGGCACGTGCAGGCCCTTGGGAGGAACAGGAAAGGAGAAGATGGCTGCACTGGGAGGTCCCAGGGGGAGTGGGGAATGAGGCTGTGATGTGAGCTGGGGCCCCTCTCCAGGCCCACATGTGCAGGAGATTTTACTTTAGTGCCGGTCGGTGTAGCAGGGAGCAGTGAGAGGGTCTCTTCCTCCACATGCCTGGTTCCTAGCTTGGGACCTGACTCAGGGCAGCTACGGGGACCGTGTGGTGACAGGCTGCATCTGCCCAGCCGGACAGGGTGGGCTCCCCCGTGCTCCTGCACACTTGCCCACGAGTCCTTCCTGTGTCGTTCCCCTCTGTTCCTGTGGGCTGAGCCAGCTCCACCTCTGGAAACCAGGCAGTATTCTTCCTCAGCATCTAGGAACATTAACTTCTCTGCATTAGTACAGGCCATTGCCCAGAGTTGGGGAAACTGAGGCATGATGTCCCAGGGGTGTCAGGAGCATGAGACTCATCTAGCCTCCTGAGGCTGTTAAAAAACTGTTCTAAGAGAATTAAATTACTCTGTTCCCTCCTTTGCGGATGGCTGTCATGCATTTGATTCTTCAGGGCAACTGCAAAGCTAGTTCAGGGCCTGGTACTTGGTGTGTGTGCGGGAGCATGTGAACTGCATCGGCACATCTGCTCAGTCCCTGGAGAGTGAGCCCTTTGAGCCCCCACAAGGGGAGGATAAGCCCTTTCCCCAACTTGGGTGGGCCCAGGCCAGCCTCATGCTCAGGGGACTTGGGACATAGTGACGGTGGTGGCTGAGGCTGCCATTTTAGGATCTATGTTTTGTGTGTCAGGCACCCTGTACATGCACACTCTTACTTCTCTGTCCTTCCCAGAAGACGCTTGGGGAGGGAGGGAGGAATGAGCAGCTCTCCAGACCAGATGCAAAGACTGAGACTCCGGTGAGGAGGGGGTAAGCACTCTTAGACACAGCCCCCACCGGAGACTCACCCAGCAGGTGGAGTGGCTGGGAGTTGTGACCCATAGTTGGAAGCTGTGTGGCTGTAAGACAGGGCTTGAGGGCCCCCTCCTGCTGGGGGAGGGGGAGGCTTAGGACCACCTCCTGGCAGCCTAGATGGGCAGAGGTGGGGGGGCGCCCCACAGTACTCCACCCCCAGTTGTCAGTGCAAACATCAGCCTGGTAGATATTTATCATTGGGTGATGGCATTCTCTAATAATAAAATATCTTCTCTTTTTACTTAGCTGATTTTTGCGTTTTTCTAACTTTTCTACACAGGCTGTATTGCTTGTGTCATTAAAACGAATAAGGGGGCCGGGCGCGGTGGCTCACGCCTGTAATCCTAGCTCTCTGGGAGGCCGAGGCGGGTGGATTGCTCAAGGTCGAGAGTTCAAAACCAGCCTGAGCAAGAGCGAGACCCCGTCTCTACTATAAATAGAAAGAAACTAATTGGCCAACTAATATATATAGAAAAAAATTAGCCGGGCATGGTGGCACATGCCTGTAGTCCCAGCTACTCGGGAGGCTGAGGCAGGAGGATTGCTTGAGCCCAGGAGACTGAGGTTGCTGTGAGCTAGGCTGATGCCACGGCACTCACTCTAGCCTAGGCAACAAAGCGAAACTCTGTCTCAAAAAAAAAAAAAAACGAATAAGGGGGATGGAATTTGCAAGGAGCAAATTCGGGTGTTACCCTGGGGGGGGGTCGTCCAGGATAGGGGAGCCTGTGCTTCTGCAGGGAGGGGGCGGGACAGGGGTGGGGCTTATTTGCATATGCAAACAAGCAGTTTCCAACCCCTCTTTCCTTCTGGCCTCCTACCTCCCCTGGCATGTAGGACTGAGGGTGGAGTGGAGGGGCAAAGCTACGTGACCATGATCACAGGCCCAGGGACGCCCAGAAACTGGCTTCCACCGCCAATCCATGCCGGCTCGTTGGCGCAGTCTGTTTATTTGCCGCCTACCCAACCCGACAGTGCGCTCCTGGCTCTGAGCCGGTGCTGAGGGCGTGCTTGTGACCAACGGGGAGGCTGGGAGCAGGGCTGGAATGGGAGCCCGCAAGGCCAGGCTCGCTCGCTTGGTTCCCAAGGGCATGGGGATTTGAGTCTAACTTCCCCTCCGGGCTTCTGTTTCCTAGATCCACTTCCCTGACGTGGAGCGGGTCGAGTGGGCCAACAAGGTAAGGTCACCGGTGGGGCTGGATGCACTCCGGGCCTGTCCTCCTGGCGCCTCCAGCCTGCAGGCCCAGTAGCCGCAGGCAGCAGCACTGATGGTGGCTGCAGGCATGTGGTCAAAGGCCCCGGGGTCCAGGAGGGGCAGGGATGGCTCATCTACTGCTGGGGAGGCAGCTTCTGCTCCTTCTTCCTTCATTCGCCAGAATGGCTTTCTTCTCTTTAAAAATTTTCTTTTAAGTTAATATATCTTAAATTAATACATGGCTACAGCAGAAAAGTTAGAAAACACAGAGAAGTATAGAAAAAAGTACAATCCTCCACTCACCCACCAGGCCAAGATCTGTACTTTCCTAGGGAGAGGAAGGCACTGATTATACAACAGCTTCTGGGTTCCGCCTGGTTCCCAGCCTGGATCTGGCACCACTGGCTGTGTGACCTTGGGCAGATTGCCTAATGTCTCTGAATTGGTTTCCTTATCCGTAAAATGGGAATGCTTATGGTTCCTGCCCTGGCTTAGATCCACTGACGTCATTGTTGTGGTGGCTGTTAGCTCACCAGGGGAACTCCCAGTGGGCTCTGCTGCCCAATGCCCCGAGGAGGAGGGCCCCTGTTGGATGGCTCCCTGTCAAGCCCTCCCCCAGGAATCCCGGCTTTACAAATGAGGAACCAGAGTCCCGCCCCTACCTGATCTGCCAGACCTTTCCCTGAATGTGAAGGCTCCATTGCAGCCCCCACCTCAACTCTCCCAGCGTGGGACTTTTTCTAACACAGACCTTGCCTCTGTTCTGGGAGGAGGCTTAGCCCATACCAGGAATGAGTTATTTGTAAGAAAGGACTTCCTGAGGGTTATTGATCTAAGGTTGGCATTTTCGCATTACCAGAAATATCATTGCCAAGTGCCTGAAGCAGCGCTCAGTGAATGACAAACCAGCAAGACAGGAAGATGCGACCAGCCCCTAGAAAGCAGAGCCTGGGGTTGGAAGAGACCCCTGAGAGAAATGGGAACAGTGAGCCCTTAAATCTCCATGTTCAGGCTCCTCTCATGGTGGGTTTGGAATGGGTGCACGTAGGAAGCAGGCTCGTCTTTAAACTGCAGCCCAAGTCCACAGGAAAGAAGAGGGAGACGCCTCTGCCCCAAACAGGGCAAATGTGCCTGCTAGCTGTCCTTACCCCTCTCTGATCACTGCTGTCACACATCATCTCTGCCACCTTCTGCTCCCCAGGTTCCCAGACCAGCGCAATGAATCCTTCTGCTGCAGAAGTCAGCAGTCTCAAAGGCTGCCTTTTCTCTGATTGTTAGAAAACAAAATCCACAGGAAACAATTTAACTTTCTCTTCTGTAATTTTGGTCCTAAACTTCTGGCATCTGTTACTTTTCATTTAAACTATAACGTAGAATGAGATTATGTCTGAGCTCAGAATTAAAGGGCTTCATAATTTGAAATTTCATGAATGAATATTTCATGGTGTTCTGCAAAATGGCACCAAATCTTGGGGTCCTGCCACCCGCGTGAGAGTGGGAACCACTGCTGTAGTTATCAGGTGTTTGATGGATAGGTGAGAGGTGGGCAGGCAGGCAGAGGGGTGCTGCGGCGCAGGGGCCCCACCCCTGGGACCAGGCTGCAGAGCATCAGGGCCATGTTCTGCACAGCTGTGGGTCTGCCAGGGGTCACAGACCTGGCCACCAAAGGCCTCTTCCTGTTGTCATAGGTCATCTCGCAGATCTGGCCCTATCTAAGCATTATCATGGAAAACAAGTTCCGGGAGAAACTTGAGCCCAAGATCCGGGAGAAGAGCGTCCACCTGAGGACCTTCACCTTCACCAAGCTCTACTTTGGACAGAAGGTGGGTGCTGTCTCAGGGAGGTCAGCCTGGACTCACTGTGCCATCTTTGTACCCTCTCCCCCCACCATCCCGCACCCCAGTCAGTCACCTGACTGCGAAGATGCCATTGGGCCCCTTGTCCCAGCACCACTGTCTCTCCAGGTTCCAAGGAAGCCTGGCACAGAGGGAACAGAAAGGAGAGGTGGGAAATAGTTCCACTTTTCTTAAGCAAAATTTTGGTTTCTTTCTTTCTTTCTTTCTTTCTTTTTTTTTTTTTGAGACAGAGTCTCACTTTGTTGCCCAGGCTAGAGTGAGTGCCGTGGCGTCAGCCTAGTTCATAACAACCTCAGTCTCCTGGGCTCAAGCGATCCTACTGCCTCAGCCTCCCCAGTAGCTGGGACTACAGGCATGTGCCACCATGCCTGGCTAATTTTTTGTATATATATTTTTAGTTGGTCGATTAATTTCTTTCTATTTTTAGTAGAGACGGGGTCTCACTCAGGCTGGTTTTGAACTCCTGACCTTGAGCAATCCGCCCGCCTCGGCCTCCCAGAGTGCTAGGATTACAGGCGTGAGCCACCGCGCCCGGCCTATTAAGCAAAATTTTGGAAACATGCCACAGTGGTGGCCAGACACATACAAAGATGAACAAATCATAGTCGCTAACCTCGGGGATCAGCTGGGCAAACACACCTTTGTGGCTTGAGATAGTGCCACAAAGTGGTTTGTAATTCCCTACTAATTGGTTGGCTCTGGCAATCAGTGTTCCAAGTCCACGCTAGCTCTGTGAGATCAGTAGGTGTCGCAGGATAAAATGGTCCATGGCAAAAAAGTTTGTGTTTGTTATACCTACTATCAGGTTCCCTGTTCTAGACTAAGCTTCCTGTTTCCCCCTCTGTGCCCCACTCTTCCTGTTCCAACGCGTCCCATTGATGTGAGTCTTAATTTGATCATCCAAAATGAGTCTCCCAGGCAGAGAGCTGCTGTGACGTCCATCACCCTGTAAATCAGAGGTGGTGGCATCTAGTCTGTTCTGGAAAGAGCTGCTGAGAGCTGCCTGCCAGCCCTGCCTGGCTGGCCCCTAATAAGGGGTGGGCTAGGCATGCTTGAGCCCTGGGATTTCTGGTTTATGGCACTCAAACTGCCAGGACAGGCTTGTTCCAGCATGTGTTGGTTCGTGTGTTCATTCCTTGTTTCATCACCTGTGACTTACTGAGCACGTGCTGTGCACTAGGCGCCCCGGAGGGAGTAGGGTGCGGCCGCCCCCTGCCTGTGGGAGGTGGCATATGAACTGGTAGATGACAACACGGCAGTGTGTGTACACGCATGGTGGAGAGGAATGCGTTAAGTTCAAAAGTGGAGGGGTATTTGGTCCATTAGAGCTTGGCCCTAAAAGAAAAAAGAAAAAGAAAAGAAATATAATGAATGTATTTAATAAAAAAAAAAAGTGGAGGGGTGGAGGGGCTGTGGTGGTTGGGGACGACTTCTAGGAGGAGTTAGTGTCTGAGTTGGCCTTTGAAGAGTTTAGCAGGCTGGGAGCCAGGAAGCCTACGGACTGCTGTGCTTCTAGCAGAGCCTGCTCGGCCAGGCTGCTGCTCTGGCCATGGCGTCTTTGGTCTTTGGGATGTGGCACTGCTGGCAGGCGATCCCAAGAAATGATTTTTACTGTGTCAGGAGAACGTGGAGGGGAGGCTGCAGGCTGAGAAATGTCCCTGCCCTGCTGGAGAAACACCTGACTCGGGATCCTGGCATTCACGGCCCTCCACGTCCTGGCTCCTCTCACCTCCCCTCTGCGCTCCCTTTCTCCACATTTCCCCTCCTCTCCATTCTGGGGTCACAGGGACCTCCTCATGTGACCCTCCTGGGCTTGGCCAGGACTCAGTGCACTCTCCATACTGCCTCCTGCACACCTGTTCCCTGCAATTCCCGTGTCTGTGCCCAGCTCCACTCGGTGGTGTGGGGACCTTGGGCAAGTGACTTGACTTCTCTGAGCTCCAGTTTCCTCTTGTATAAAAGGAAAGGACCAATCCTAGCACTCTGGGAGGCCGAGGCGGGCGGATTGCTTGAGGTTAGGAGTTCGAAACCAGCCTGAGCAAGAGCGAGACCCCGTCTCTGCTATAAATAGAAAGAAATAAATTGGCCAACTAATACATATAGAAAAAATTAGCCAGACATGGTGGCGCATGCCTGTAGTCCCAGCTACTCGGGAGGCTGAGGCAGGAGGATTGCTTGAGCCCAGGAGTTTTAGGTTGCTGTGAGCTAGGCTGATGCCACCGCACTCACTCTAGCCTGGGCAACAAAGTGAGACTTTGTCTCAAAAAAAAAAGGAAAGGACCGCTTCTAAAGGTGGCTGTGAGGCGTGAACAGCAGGCCTGGTCAGGGCTGCTGTGCTGAGAGGGCCAGTGAAGGCCAGGGTCTGACCTGGCACGCCTTGCCTGACTGTGGCCCTGGGCCAGGGCCACCCTGCCTGGCACAGAGCCGGTGCCAGAATGGTGTTACTCTCCTCTCTGTGTTGGTGACCTCTGGGCAGGGAGCCTTCCCCAGGACTCGTCTCTGCACATGGGGGTCTTGAGGCTGGCTGGCCTTTCCTAGCTGCCGGGCAAAAAACCGCCACGCCAGGAGCAGCCCTGGGCTGGGGGAGGTTCGTCACAGCGCCCCATCCTCCAACCGGGGCTTCCATCGAGGCCAGGGTAGAGCCAGGGCTGTGAGGCCTGAAGCTTCTACAATCCTGGGGATCCTCTCTTTAAAAAGAATATAAAATTAAAAATGCGAAATTAGGACAAAAAATGAATATTAAGTATGAGAAAGAGAAAATCATGGCAAGCTATACATTTTAAAAAGCTGACCTATCACACATACCACAAATTCTGGAAAAACTACCTGATATTTTAAATTAATAGCTCAATGTGTCCCTACAATACTTTGCCCCCTGCATTTTGGGCTCTGTCCTCTGAGAACCTTTTCACGTGACAGTGCATTTGTACGTAACCACTTTCTATGGAGCGAATCAGAAGATGATGGAATCTTTCCTCTAATGGGATTATTGAATTTTTCCTCCAGCATTCTATTATGAAAAATTCCAAACATAAAACAGAGTTGGAAGAATTATTCAGTGAACATCATATACCTACCATTTGGGCTGTGCAAGTGTTAACTTTTTGCTTCATTGCACATCCTTGCATCTGCCTCTCCATTCCTTTTTAAAAATGCATTTCAAATTAAATAGACATCAGTGAACTTCATCCCTAACCACTTCAGCATACATATTAACTCAAACTCAAATGAAATTTGTTTTTTCTTGGTAATTAATAACCAGACCCCACTCCAATGCCACCTGACAGGAGAAGAAGAGTCTGGGCTGAGGTGGAAGCTGGTAACAGAAGAGAAATGACCTGGGGTGGCTCTGGAGTGTGGGCACTTCGATTCCGAGGGTCAGAGCCCTCCGCAGGGACGCCGGCCCCTTCCCTCGCCCTGATGGTGCGACTCCTACTCACCTGCAGACTTAGTTTAGACGCTTCTGCCTCCAGGAAGCCTCCACTAACGTCCCCCCACCCCAGGCTGGGTTGGGAGGTGTTCCTGCAGTCCCCAGACCCCCATGTGACAGCACGGGCTGCTCCCCATTGCGGGCCCCCATTCGCCTCCTGTGCTGGGCTGTGAGCCCACAAGGACAGGCTCGCCACCTTGCCTCGGCCGCCTCCCCGTCCAGCGCCCGGCACAGAGTGGGCGCTCAGCAAGCATCTGTGGCAAGACAGAGAAAGAGAGGGGACATGTTCCCGGAAGAGAAGTCTCGGGGGGTGGGGGTGGGGGTGGGGGTGGATTCCTGTGTTTGTGCCTCATCCCGGGAGTGCGGTGGTCACGCATGTTGTGTTGGCAAGGCCCAGGGCTATGAGAGGGCTGGCAGCCATGCCCTGCTGTGCAAACCCTCTGACCCAACCCTCCTGGCATCTCTCCAGTGCCCCAGGGTCAACGGAGTCAAGGCACACACCAACAAGAGCAACCGGAGACAGGTGGTCCTGGACCTGCAGATATGGTGAGCCCTGCTGCCTGTGGGGCCAGGTGTGCGCTGCGGGGGCTGCAGGGGACACTGTGGGGACAGCCAGTTTGAAGATGGAGAGGCACATATACGCTCTCATTTTGGGTGTGAAACCCCTCACTGGACCCTCCCCCTGGGGCTTGAGGAGGGAGTGTCAGGAGGATGAAACGGAGGGGTTACTGGTTCTAGGGGAGCCACCTCTGACCCCTTGGCCCAGGCCTGGCTTCTCCCATCCCACGGCACAGTCTGGGTACCAAAGCACAGGCAACAGAGCTTTCTGGGAAGCCATGGCCAGGCCACCTGGAGGAGCAGACCAACTGCCTCAGAGAGGAGGTCACTAGAGGGAGCAGGTGTGACAGGAAGATCTGGGGTCTTGTGGTGAGGCCCGGGGAGCTCCAAGTGCAGGCCGTGAGAGGCCAGCTGGAGAACTGGGCTTTGTGACTCCTCAGGAAAACTAGAGTACGCAAAGACTCATCAGTGACTGATTCAGGGAATTGGGCAAGGGTATGTCTTTTGAATGAGGTTCATAATGGGCTTGAGTCAGGAAGAAGGGAGATTCAATCCAGGAAGTCTTCCTGGAGGTGGCAAGATTTGAATTGTGCTTTAAAAGGCAAAGGATCAACTCCTGAAGTTCCAGGGTGTTGCCATTCCTTTCCCGTGTTTCATATTTCCTGTCCTTAGCCCAGAGGCTGGCACTGAGAGCACATTGGGAAGACAGGAGCCAGTTCTGGGACCACCCATCGGCATTTGGGGGCCAGTCTCAAGTGTGTTGGGGTGGTGATGGGCTATCCAGTGCTCCTGGCCCCTGGGGCTCTGCCATAAGATCCCTGCATGAATAGCTGGGGCACACTGAGGTCATCTGGCCCACTCAGCACCCAGGTAGCTCATGGGGTTCCCATCTCCTCCGTCCTCTCAAGGGGCTTTCAGCATTTCTATTACTTGTGACGTTGGGCTCCTGTGCCTGTGCCCTGCAGATGTTGACAGCTGCTGTCTCCCCCCTTAGTCTCCTTCGGTCCCTTGACAGGATCTCCTGATCTTCACCCTCAAGGGCGCCCATCCTGGGCTCCCTGTGCCCATCACCTGGCAAGAGCCATCAGCTGGACTCAGGCTCCTGTCCTGAGGCCTTGTTACCTTTGCCCACCTCCACCCCCAGCACACCTGGGACAGTGGCTGGACATACACAGCAGAGGCTGCTTCAGTGTCCTCGTGGGAGAGACCTGGGCAGAGACGGGGCAGGGGGCAGCAGTGTGGAGAGATGGGCGATGTGTTTACCGAGAGCCCCTCCTTTTCATCTTTGGGGTATTATGGGGCAAGGTGGTGCCAGAGCCAGTGCCCGCATGGTCAGAGAGGGGGCTGTGCCTGGGACACCTGGGTGCAGGGGTCTGGGGGGCTGCCTCCCAGGGTCTGGGCAAAGCTGAGAAAGGCTGAGGCTCTTAGGGAGGCCATGTGCTGAGCGACACAGAGTTCAGGCTTGGCGACTGGCTGCCCAAGCTCAGGCTGTGTGATGCTGGGCAAGTTTCTCGACCTCTCTGAGCAGTGGACCTGCCCCTCCTCCTGCCTACCTTTCTTGTCCCTCCCTGTTTCAGCTACATTGGGGACTGTGAGATCAGCGTGGAGCTGCAGAAGATACAGGCTGGTGTGAACGGGATCCAGGTGGGTGGGGCCCAGCTCGGCTGCCTCGGTTCCAGCCCTTGGGGTGGGGGCCGGAGAAGGGGGAAGCGGGCTGATGCCAGAGCAGGCTGCAGAAGGCAGCGATGACACCAAACGCAGAGGCTGGTGATGAGAAGAACTGTCGTCCTGAGGTCACATGGCCGGGAAGTGGCGGCTGGGCCTTACCAACCTGCTGCTCCACCTCAGGGCCCCACCAGCCTGCCTCTGATCGCAGCGCCCCCAGAGGTTTGGGCTGCCTGCACAAGCAGAGGTGGTGCTCGTGGGGTGATGGACAGCCATCGCTTAGAAAGCGAGGTGGACCCAGGAGGTGGAAATAACTCATGCCAGGAGTACAGGAGCTGAGTTGGAGCCAGAAATCACTCCTGGGTCCCTGTTGGCTGGGCTGGCCTGAAACTGGGCAAAGGCCCCCCCGGCCGGCATACCAGTGGAAGGCAGTGTGGGCCAACTTGTGGCCCCGGGGGGCCGGCAAAGGGGGCACAGCTGTGTCCAAGCCTCTATACCCTTCGTGACAGCAGGTGGCCTGTGGCAGGTTGTCCTGACATTTGGGGATAGCACGGGCATGAAATGAGACAGCAAACGGCCTCAGCCAAGCTCTGCGGGCGTGGGAAGAAGGGAGGCATGATCCCTTCATGAGCCTGTGTGCCCATCCAGTTGCAGGGCACCTTGCGGATCATCCTGGAGCCCCTCCTGGTGGACAAGCCCTTCGTGGGAGCCGTGACTGTGTTCTTCCTTCAGAAGCCGGTGAGTCCCGGAGACTAGAGGCCGGCCTGCTGCTCCCTGAGTGAGCATTTGTCCGCTGGACCCCAGACATGGGGTTTGAGCTCACAAACCCAGCTGTCCGAGCCCACCTAGACCCAGGCACTCACGCCTTATCTCATTTAATCCTTAAGGCAGCCTGAGGACTAGACTCTGCCCTCCCGGGATGAGGCAGCTCAGCTCAGAGGGCACACAGGTGGCCTGAAGGGGAGCTGAGACACAAACCAGAGCTCTCGAAGTCCAGGCCAGCCTGGGGAGGTCCTGGCAGGGAAGCAGCAGGCCCGGCTGCCCCTGCCCCATCCTGTGCTCAGGCTTCGGCCTGGATACCCCTAGAAGCCTGAGCAGGGCTGGGGGTCCCCTCGCCTGCACGACAGCCTTGCAGAGGGCGCCTCCCCGCAGGCTGGATTCTCCATTCCGGCGGGTGCGAGGCACTTCACAGAGGTGTCAGCCGTGGGCCCCCAGCCCTCGCCAGCCTAACAGCCTCCCTCTGCCCTGCAGCACCTGCAGATCAACTGGACAGGCCTGACGAACCTGCTGGACGCGCCAGGAATCAAGTAGGGGCCTGGGAGAGCCGCCAGGGAAATCCTAAGCGTGGGGGTCCTCAGGGCTCTGCGTAGCACCTGCGTGGCCTGGGCTCTGTTCTCAGGACCGCGCAGTTCACGTGTTTGCAGAGGGGCGGGAGGTTATCGTGTGTGCGGCCTCTGGGCAGGCCCTGTGCCCCGAGCGCGCATGCGCACGCGCACATGTACGTGCGCGCCCGCTGTGAGTGCGAAGTGCTTTGTTGGATGTCCAGCTGACAGGCGTTCAGGTCTCTGTCCCGGTATAGGGGGAGAGGCTCTGATCTGATGAGATGTGGTCCCAGAGGAGGCCACGTGGGCTAGCACGAGGCAAGCACAGGTCCCAGATCCAGAGCCAGCTCCTGGCTCTGTCACTTAGCAACGACTTAGCAACTGTGGATGAGTTACTTTGCTTCTCCAGGCTCTTCCTCTGTAAACAGGGAGCCTGGTTCCTGACTTGGGGTCCCTGGGAGAACACTCAGGTGTGTGTGGTGGCAGCACAGTGCGTGTGGACACACGAGTATCCCCTTTCTTCCTCATTCCAGCCCCTCCTCAACCCACGTGTGTGGTGAGAAGCCTGTGTTGCCTCCCCCGACCATGGTCACAAACACTGGTGGGAGGGTGGCTGTCCCGGCCGAGGCCAGCGAGGAGGAGCTGGTCCTGGAGACCCCACCTTCCTGGGGCCAGGCGAAGGCTGCTCACAGAGCCCCGGACCCTTTGAGAGGAGCAGAAAAGGGTGCTGGCCCCACTGGACAGGTCTCCCCGCACCAGGCTCAGGGGACGGCCACTCACCTCACTTACTGGGGACATTGACACTGATCTCAGCTGCTCTGGACAAAGAGACTCCAGGCATGCATTCTTTCACTCAAAAAGTATTTATTAAGCACTTACATTTTGTGCCTGTCTCCCTGTACCGGGAGGTAGAGTCAGGCAATGCACAGAGAACGTGAGCGACGTCACGGAGGGGAAGGGCTGTGTCACAGCACCTGCTGTGGACTAGACACTGATCTCAGCACCTCACACTTCTCGCTCATCCCCACAGCTGCCCTAGTAGACATTATTAGCCCCATGTCAAGAGATGAGGACACCAAGGTCACACAGCTAGCAGGTGGTGGAGCTGAGATTCTAACATAGGTTTAGAGGTCCTTGCTCTTAGCCACTATGCTGTGCTGCCTCAGGGAACAAAGCGGGATGGGGCAAGGGGGAGGGGGATGAGTAGCAGGAGAGCTGCTATTGCCATCGAATGTCGGGGGCTGTCATGATGCACACATACCCCCCACCTGCGTCCAGGCAAGATGGGGTCAGGGCTGTTCTCTAGGCGGGGCCCACTCTGCCAAGCTGGGCCCCTGGTTCCAGCTCTGGGGATGGGTGGAGGGGCAGGCAGCATGGCGAGGAAATGTCCCCGTCCACAGCTGGTCTTGCCTGGTATTCCAGTGAGGTGTCAGACAGCCTGCTGGAGGACCTCATTGCTGCCCACCTGGTGCTGCCCAACCGCGTGACTGTGCCTGTGAAGAAGGGGCTGGATGTGACCAACCTGCGCTTCCCTCTGCCCTGCGTGAGTACCCAGCACTGGCCACAGAGCCCTGGGCCCAGTGCTGAAGGACAGGTGGGCTGGTGGGGCAGGTGTCCTGTCACTGTGAATGCATTCTCAGATGCTAATCCTTATTTCTGCCCTCTGAGAGCTTCCCTCTTTTATAAGGAGGAGACTGAGGCTTGGGGCAGTTGAATGCCTTGCCAAAGTCACAGAGCTTTATCACTAAATATGTCATGGGGTCACACCATGCTAGTATAAATCGAGACCTTCCACATTCGTTTTTTTTTTGGAGACAGAATCTTGCTCAGTCGCTCTGGCCAGAGTGCAGCGGCATCATCGTAGCTCACTGCAACTTCAAACTCCTGGGTTCAAGTGATCCTCCTGCTTCAGCCCGCCTAGCAGCTGGGACTACAGCCATGCACCACTACGCTCAGCTAGTTTTTTTATTTTTTGTACAGATGGGATCTTGCTCTTGCTCAGGCTGGTCTCAAACTCCTGAGCGCAAGTGATCCTCCTGCCTTGGCCTCCCAGAGTGCTAGGATTACAGGTGTGAGCCGCCACACCTGGTGAGACCGTCCTCATTCTTTTTAACAGCTGCAAAGTACTCCACTATGTGAATGTACTGAATTTTATTCAGCCAGGTCCCCACTGGTGGACAGTTATGTTGGGTCTTTTGCTGTTACAAATAATAGTATAATGAATCACCTTGCACACATGCCTTTTTATGAATCACCTTGTGCACGTGTCTTTTTATATTTTTGCTAGTATGCCCTTGGTATAGACTGCTAGAAGCTGGATTTCAGGGTCAAAGGGTAAATGCATGTATGTTTACTGGTACTTAAAAAAAAATTCTAGGAAGGAGGTATACCTTAAACCCCATGAACTATGCTTTTCCTAATTACTGTGCTCTGTTCTTTATAAAAAGAGTTTTTTTGTTTTCCATTTCTTTTTTAACAACCATCCATGTGAGTGTGAGGAAGGGGTCTGCCCTACAGCATAGCGCAGGGTGCAGTGGACTGAGACTGGACCCAGGCCAGCAGCAGGCAGTGCCCACAGGGCATGTAGCCCTGGGTATCAGGAAGACGTGACACCAGGACTCAGTCTACATGCAGTTTACACAGAGGGGGCTGGAGTGAAGGTGGAAACCTCAGGTGGCACGGTTGTTGGCACAGGAGGGGCAAATAGCTGCAGTTGAATAAGCCACTCATGCTGCAGTTTGGAGGCAGGGAGTGTAGGAAGGCCAGGGATGTGGGCAGAGAGCGAGCCCTGGGCCCTGCCATCACTTGCTGTATGGCCTTGGACAGGTCACTGCTATCTCTGGCTTCTGACTCCCTGTCCGGACCATGGAGGGGCAAGATGGGGGTGGCAGTCATTTCTGATGGTTTTTTCTCTGATATTCTGGGTGTTGGGGGCTGGCATGGCCCAGGAAGCAGCTGTGAGTCCTGGGCCTGGGCATTTTCCAGGGGGTGATCAGAGTCCACCTGCTGGAGGCAGAGGAGCTGGCCCAGAAGGACCACTTCCTGGGCCTCCGAGGCAAGTCGGACCCCTACGCCAAGGTGAGCATCGGCCTGCAGCATTTCCGGAGCAGGACCATCTACAGGAACCTGAATCCCACCTGGAATGAGGTGTTTGAGGTGAGGGTCTCCTGGCTGCTCTTGGCAGCCCTCAGTGCCCTCCAGGCTCCACTCTGGGTCATGCTGGGCACAGGCAAGGGAGGGTCTTTCCCTCACACACTATTAGGGCAACACCGGGCCCGGGGAGTGGGCCTTGGAGATGGGCAGGCAGGTCTGTGTAATTTCTGCTTCCCATATGGACCAGGCTTCCAGAGGTGGAGGGGCAGCCCACAGGCAAATGCCTACGTCATTTCCCCACCAGGGTTGGCTTTGTTGGATGTTTTCAGATCAAACTAAACCTCAGAGGAGGTTCTGCCCCACCCCTCTCAGGCTTCCCTGCCAGAAGCAAGCACCAGGAGCCTGAAGTTGTTCCTTCCAGTTCAACCACAATCCCTGCTGCTTGAAGGGTGGGATCACAGCCTGTTTAGGTCTTGAAGGCCCCTCAGATTACACCTCCGAGGTGACCCCTCCCAACACATCGTGTGGATGCTTTGTTACATTTTGGGGGGAAGGCAGTGGGAGCAGGGGTGATAAAAGGCAGCTTAGCTTCCTGGTGTTCCAGACCCAGGGGGCCAGGGGAGTGACAGGCAAGTGCTCTGGAAGCCGCTAGCCCCGTGCAGAATGAACAGCAGCTTGTGTCCCCTGAGTATCCACTCTGCCACAGGCTTGCCTGTGTTGTCTCTAATGCTCTCTTCCACACTGCAGGGGAGGGGCATCACTCCCTTCTCATGGGAGGAGTTCTCAAGGTACTGAGAAGGCCAGGAACCTGCCAGGGCTCTGAGCTGGGAACTGGCTCCCCGTGGGTCCTGCATAAGGTCAGTTCATCAGTTGTGGTGGCCTACAGGTCAAGACACCTATCTTTCCTTCTAGTTTATGGTGTACGAGGTCCCTGGGCAGGACCTGGAGGTGGACCTGTATGATGAGGATCCTGACAGGGATGACTTCCTGGGCAGGTGAGGAGGAGAGTGGAGCTGGGCTTGGGGGCAGCCTTCCCTCCCTGGAGGCTCTGGGCCAGGCCTTGGGGCACGGGTACCCCTGCTTCCATCATTCAGTGACCTGCAACTCTCTCTGGTCACTCTAACATGGGGACTGTGCCCAGCCACCTGCCTCACTTTTCCACATTCCTGTCACAAACCTTTCTAGATGTCTCTTATGATCAGCCCTGACCTAGGCCCTGGTGAGGTACAGAGAGGGCCTCAAGCTTTGTACACCTGTTTGCTTTCTGCTCTCCTTGTAATGTACCCAGGGGTCCCTGCCTGGAGTAGTGGGCCAGGCTGGTGCCCAGTCCCAAGGAACCCTGGCTGCTCTCTCAGGGGCAGAACCCTCAGGGCTATGGGAGGACTGAAATGGCCAGGTTGGGCTGGCTAGCAAAACCTCAAATTTCTATGTCTTGCAGTCCAGCAGTCCTACCCGCAGGAATCTCCTGTAAAATAAACACTAGAACCTGAAATGTTCATTGCAGAAGTTATCTGTAGTACCAAACAACCCCCAGGAAATATAGATATCCAGCCTCAGAGGAAATTGGCTGAATGTTTGAATAAGTTTGCTATTGCTAAACTACAGAATAGTCTGCAGCTTTGAAAAACAAGTAGAATCCGTGCTGTATTAGTGAGGGAGAACAGTTGGGAGTAACCTGTCAATTTGTTTGATCTTTCCAGGAGAGACCCCTCGAGTATGTATTGTTGCATGTGCATGTGGGCAGAGAAAGGCATGGAAGCTACACAGCAGCCTTTTAACATTGCTTATCTCAGATTAGGAGGCAGAGAAGGGAGTTTTACCAAAATCTTCAGGAGGCTCCTGTATTGTTTAGCTTGTTTCCACGAGCATATAATTTTAAAAAGTAGAAATAAAACAAAATGAGTGAGGCACAATGTGACAGCCTAAGAAACAGCTCACCAGCAGATGTTGCTTATCATTTTTCATCTTAATGAAAACAGTTGCAGTTTTTGGAATGTTGCAGATGAGAAGTGTGGCTTTATGTAACTGAGTTCTGGTGTGTGTTGTGCTTAGCTGTGCTGACAATTACATAGGTTTACATTTTCCCTCTGGCTACCAGGCCACCCCTTCTGGTTGGGCTTGGTTCCAGGCAGGTTAGGGGAACACTGTGATGTGGGTGTTACCTGTCTCTATCTCTCTCTCTCTATCTCTCTCTCTCTCTCTCTTTCTCTCTCTCTCTCTCTCACACACACACACACACACACACACACACACACACACACACACACACACGCCAACTATACTTATCCTTTGCAGGGTACCTAGAGCAATTGTGGAAACCAAGGAGCATTTGGGGTTGTTAAAATGACTGTGAAAGGTGATGGCTCTCGCATTTGGAGGGCACAGGACCAGGAGGCTAAATTCCTGCAATGCAGGGACAATTTTGCACAATGAAGATTCATCCCACTCAAAATGCCAGTAGCACTGTCACTGAGAAATCCAGAGGTGATGTGTCTCGCAGCCTCTGCTCCCCAGGCAGCACACCCACTGGAAGCAGCCCTGATCATTAGCTAGTCCTTCCTTCACTTGAGCCAAAATCAGTCTCCCATTGGTTCCATGGGACGAATAAGATCCTCTGTCTTAATGGTCCCACTGATATTTCAACATAGATTCCAGGGTGTGCCTCCCCACCCTCTGCTGCCTGCCTCCTCTGAGCTGAGCTGACCCCTCTCCCTGTGTATTGCAGCCTGCAGATCTGCCTCGGGGATGTCATGACGAACAGAGTGGTGGATGAGGTAGAGTTGGTACCTGCAACCCCGGGGGAGTTTCAGTGTAGCCCCCCTTCCTGTGGACAGCAGGTTGCTTCAGCCCAGCTAGTCCAGTGAAATGGGCCCCCTCTGTGCCGTACGCATGCCCATCCGCCGGGCCAAGAGCTGGTTTGGCACAGATGGCTCCAGGGAACTCCCCAGGGCCTGGGTTGGAAGATGCTCCCCTGAGAAATGCCCATAGCCTAAGGACCCCCAGCAAGGGACAGTCACATCATAGGGGAGGGCAGGCTAGACCTGGGTTTTTCCATCCTAAATTGTAGCACTTCTGCCTTCCTATAACCACATCTGCCAGTCTCCCTGAGCCCAGAGTGTACCCTGTCTGGGCTGGTCCACCTTTTCCCTGAAGCCCTACTATGGCCCTACCAGGTCCCAGGACTGGGCTACCCAAAGAGGGTCAGTAGCATCTCCCCGGCCCTTACCTTGAGCTTTCTACCCCTGCTCTCACCCCACAGTGGTTTGTACTGAATGACACAACCAGCGGGCGGCTACACCTGCGGCTGGAGTGGCTTTCACTGCTCACTGACCAGGAAGCTCTGACCGAGGTGAGTGCAGGGTGTCAAGGACTCCCTAGCAGGAAGGTGGAGAGTCCCATGTGACACAGGCTGTGTGCAGGTGGAGGCTGAGAGGGAGATGGAGCCCTTGTCCTTTGTCACCTCCTGGAAAGTATGTCACTCAGCCCATCTCCACAGAGCAGAGCTCCTAATCTCTCAGCAAATAGCTCTGAGCACCTCAGCCAACTTCAGGAATGAAGTTAGAGCTCTGCGTCAGTGCTTGTCATCCGAGTTCGTAGAGAAATCCACTCTTGTGTCTAACTTTAATCTGTCATGCTGCAGGAGTATTATTAGCTTCAACAAAAGCTAAATTATGAGAGATCTTACTGCTAGTCTGGAGTGTGAGGGCTGGGGCTGGCTTCCTTCTGCCATGAGTACGTGTCTCCAAAACCAATCTGTCTTTTCTGCTGCTGCATGCACCCAGTGAGGGTCTGTGTCTGTTTGCAGGACCATGGTGGCCTTTCCACTGCCATCCTTGTGGTCTTCTTGGAGAGTGCCTGCAACCTGCCGGTGAGTGGTGACACGTCCTGAGTTGCATACTCACCCGACCTTGTGCCCGTCACTTTCAAATGTCCATGTGTTCCTTCAACTCTATTTTTCTTGTGCTGCAGAGAAACCCTTTTGACTACCTGAATGGCGAATATCGAGCCAAAAAACTCTCCAGGTTTGCCAGGGTGAGTATGACCGAAAACTCCAGTGAGGGCAAATCATGGCTTCTCTTCCCCAGAGTAACTGCAGCTATGCACACACAGCCTGAGGATAACAAGAGGTGTTGATTGTGGAGTCGTTGTGCGAGGCACTGGGCGTGGCAACTGTCTCCCACATTTGTTATCCTCGAGTCCCACATTGACTGTGTGTCATTAATTTTTATTGCCATTTTACAAACAGGACCCAGAAATTAAATGCCTGCCTGGGTCACACAGCTAAAGAGAGGAGCAAGAACTTGGCTCTACCCTGTTTCCATAGCCCCAGGGAACAAGAGCCTGTGCCCAGCCAGGCCCAGTGCTGGGCTGTGGTCTTTAACTTAGAACCCCTTCCTGGGGTCAGTCCTGTCCTAGTGCTTGCACAGTAACGACATCCCAGGATGCCTGGGAGCACCAGAGCAGCTTCTCTCAAAGGGAAGCCATTGGCTGACCCAGGTCCTACTGATACTCCGGGGAGTTTGGGGTGGGGCTGTCCCAAGCTGAAACTCATGTGCCACTTTGATTGTTGTGGATTTGCTCCCTCACAGAATAAGGTCAGCAGAGACCCTTCTTCCTATGTCAAGCTATCTGTAGGCAAGAAGACACACACGAGTAAGGTAAAATAGCTTGTATGTAGTCCTGGGGAAAGGAAATGGGCCCCAACCCTTTTCAGAGAGAGAGGCAAAAGGAAAGGGAATTAACTTACACCAAATGCCTAGTAGGCCCTTTATTTTATTTAGTCCTCACGATAACCTCACAAAATATTTGTATAGTTCAAGAATCTGAGAATCAGAAATAAATGACTTACCCAAGGGCACATACTACAAAGCAGCAGAACTAGGGTTCAAACCCGTGTCCTTTCTACCACACCGTGAAGCTTCTCCGTCCAGCAGCAGAAATCCTGTTGGCCCCTCCTCCCCTGAGTATGCTCTAAGGCTAGAATAATTTTCAGTCCCATAAAACTTCCTGGCAAAGCACTCGTTGCTTTTGAATGTGGCTGGCCCTAGTGCCTCCTGCTGGCTGTAGTGCGTGTGGGTCTGACACCTGGGCAGATGCAGGACCCGTTCCCAATGGTACCTGGTGGCCAGAGTGAGAGCAGAAGGTGCCGGTATCTGGCTCTGCCCAACCTGACCCTTCAATGATCTCTCCCTCTTCTGTTCCCAGACCTGTCCTCACAGCAAGGACCCTGTATGGAGCCAGGTTTTCTCCTTCTTTGTACAGAATGTGGCAGCTGAGCAGCTCCATCTGAAGGTTTGCCAGAAATTGAGCTCTTGAAACAGAGTTAAGAGGTTTCTAAGCCAGGTGGGATAGGGAGCTTTAAGTATGTCCTAGGGCACAGGTTCTCCTGGCAATATTTAAAGTCAGCCCGCTGTGGGTGGGAGAGGACACTGAGGCTCCACAAGGCCCGTCTCCTTGAGGCTAGTGCTCAAGGTCATTGTGTAGGAGGCTGTGGGAGGACAAACCCTCAAGTCCCTTGGCTTTCCCTACAAAAGGTCTTTACAGTTGCTACATAGCACCCAGAGTGATCTGTGTTGGAATCTACCCAGGACATTAATAATGGTGTACTTAAAAAATTTATTCATTTAATCTTCACAAAGATCTACAGAAGAGAGTTATCTTTTTTATTTTACACGAGTGAAGAGAGGCTAAAACAATGACTTATCCAGGATCTCATGACTAACAAGTGCTGGAGCTCTTTTGGGTCCTGAGCCCTGCCTGGATGTCCCATCATGAAGGAGCACAGCTCATCAGTCCCTAAGGCCTCCATGGCCTGTGCATTTGACAGACTGGCCTCCTACCGATCACAATTGCCTCTACCCTGAGTCACTACCTTCCTCTGACTGAAGGCATTTCCCAGAATAGGACCAGATGCTAATGGAAGCACAGTATATACTTAAGTGAACCCAGTTAGTACTGGTAGTGAGTGGGGCTTGTTATCCTTGTTTTATGACTGTTCCACTACCCAGGTGCTTGATGACGACCAAGAGTGTGCTCTGGGAGTGCTGGAGTTCCCCCTGTGCCGGATCCTCCCCTACACTGACCTCACTCTTGAGCAGCGCTTTCAGCTGGACCACTCAGGCCTGGATAGCCTCATCTCCATGAGGCTGGTGCTTCGGGTAAATCTCTTCTGTTCCCCGGGGGCGGGGGAGTGGAGCTCTGGCTATGGAGCAGGGTGAGCTGCCCCAGCACTAAGCCACCTGCTCTGTCTCTGGAAGATGCCAGGAGATGATTCATGTTTTCCATCAATTTTGAAATATTGTCAGCCATTCTCTCTTCAAATATTCTTCCATTCTTTTTAAATTCCTGTTTCTAGAATTTCTATACTGAACCTTCTCATCTATCCTCCTTGTCTCTTGACCTTACTTTCATATTTCCCATCTCTTTATCTCATAGTGCTACATTCTAATTTCCTCAGAGCTATCTTCCAGCCCACTAATTCTTTGTCTGGCTATGCCTAGTTTGGTGTTTAACCTGTTCATGGTTTTTAATAATGGTGATTTTTCATTTCTAATTTTATCTTTTCCAAATCCATGTGGTCTTTTTTGATAGTATTTTATTATCTCATATTTACATTCTATCTTTAGTCACTTGAAAATAGTTATAATGTATATTAATTCTATTAATCTGAAGATCTTGGGGGTTAAATTTTGATTTTAGTTTTGTCTGTTGATACTTTTTTATGGTGACTCATTTCTGTGTTTATAACTTGGGTTGCAAACATATGTTCAGTGTTCCTTTGTGATCTGGATTGAGGTGGTTCTTTTCCAAAGAGGTCTGCTTTTGCTGCAGCCAGGCACCTTGGGCATTATAAGTCTGAGTCCATTCTTATGTTAATTTCTTAACTTTGGGTTTTCAGACCCCACAGGCCCTATACAAATATGAACTCAAAATTCATATTTGAGGACAGTCCTATAAGGTGCCATATTCTTAGGGAAGACTTTGTTCCCCCCCACCTAGAGTACAGGCTAAGACAAACACATCAATCTGCTGGTGGGTCTCTCAGTCTTACATTGACCCCAGAGCCTCTTTTCCCAACTCCTTGAATTCCAAGGCTGGTAAATGACCCTAGGAAAGCTTAACTTTTATTTTTCAGTTTTCTCTTTTTTAAAAGAATTATCCTTTCTTGTGAATTTGGCTATGCATTTAAAAGGATGTTTGTTTCATTTTATTTGGCATTTCTAACAAGGTTTTTCAGAATATTCAGACTACCATATTTATTGTTGGAAATGGAAGTCCCTAGGAAAGGTCTTGATAATTGACTGAGAGGGAAGGAGAAACACAATGGCTGAGGTTGTGTAAGTGGTGGGCCCAGCCCATAAACCACCTTGTCATCTACTTGCAGTTCCTGCGTGTGGAGGAACGAGAGCTGGGGAGCCCATACACAGGACCTGAAGCCCTAAAGAAAGGCCCTCTGTTCATCAAGAAGGTGGCCACCAACCAGGGTCCCAAAGCCCCACCCCAGGGAGAAGGTCCTGCAGATTTGCTATGTCCCTCAGAACCTGCTTCTGACACCAAGGAAGCATCCAAGAGTACCACAACCACCATCAGTGCTACCACTGCTGCCACCGAGCCCACACCCCAAGAGACAGGCCCAGAGCCCAAAGGCAAGGACAGTGCCAAAGGGCTCTGTGAGCCCATGGGGGAGAAGAAGAGTTCAGCCACCATCTTCCTGACTGTCCCAGGCCCCCACTCTCCAGGGCCCATCAAGTCACCCAGACCCATGAAATGCCCTGCCTCCCCATTCGTATGGCCGCCCAAGAGGCTGGCTCCCAGCATGTCCTCGCTCAACTCCCTGGCCTCTTCCTGCTTTGACCTGACAGATATCAGCCTCAACTTTGAGTATGCACTTCTCTGCTTAATATTTTCTAAAATCACCTGCATGAAAAATACTTCCCTGGATGGAAAAGTAGATATGGACTTTCATTTTTGTGCAAGTTCTAATTTTTCACAAAATTATCTTCATGAGAGGCAGCATGGTATGATAGAACAAAGGACGAGGGGGAGAGCGCCAAACAGTCTGGTTATGGCTCTAGTTATGTACTGGCTGTAAAATAGATGCTGGGCTTTGGTTAAGGTCTCTTCTAGCAGAAACATTTCATAAATTGTGAAGAGTTATACTGGGATGATATAGAAAGCTTAAAATACAGAATTATGTAATAAGTGGTGGTCATTTATGAGGGGGTTTACTGTGGGTTTAGCATGTTATCTAATTTAATTCAATCTTCACAATAACCCTACAAGTTAGAACTTAATATCATAAAAGTTGAACAAATTCACCCAAGGTCCCACAAGGAATCATGATATAAAGGCAGATCCCACTTCAGGGTTCACACTCATCTTACTGTGAAGTAGGATCATTATATGTGAATGCTGGATGGAACTGACTTCCAACTGAAAGGAATCTTACTGAGAATTATTTTATTTATCCACATGGCTCTATGTTCAAGTAGGACATGCTTCTCTGTCTTGGGGGTTGGGGAAGAGGGCCAACACTTGTAATGACAAGAGAGGTGACAAACTCTTTTTTTACAGAAGTGGGGATCTCAGGCAGCAGCGGCTGGGCGAGATTCAGCTCACGGTGCGCTATGTATGTCTGCGGCGCTGCCTCAGCGTGCTAATCAATGGCTGCAGGTAAATGGATTCTAGAGCCAGGACGGTCCTTTGGGAACATCAGCTGACCATAAATCAGAGTAGGGGTACTTGAAGCAATGACCAGGGCATGTAGCCCCACAGTAAATAAGTAGCATGTTGGGAAGAAATGAGATTTGAAGCCTGTACTCAGTGAGTGACAGAGTCTTCAAAGGGATACTTTGGTGGTCATTCTTCAGTGGTGACCAAGAGCCTTGCTCAGACACCACCACCACATAACCTGTCTGGCAGGCTGGTAGCCAGGACATTTTCTTAAGAGGAAATCTCCAACTTGCCTTAAATGGAGAGTACTTGCTCTACCCCAAACTTTATAAAAAAATGCATGTTTTCAAAACCATGCATCTGATATTTTGTCCTCTAAATTCTGCAGACTTTCACATTTTAGTCATCTAGACTACAAAGCATTTTTATCCTCAAGCCCATCTAAAGCTGAATGGCTAGTATAGCTTTCTCCCAATAAGTATTTTCAATATTTGAAAACCAGGGGCCTTTCTTCTTTCAATATCTCCGAAACCAAATCAGAAACCTAACACCATGTACCAGCAATGGAGCTGATCCCTATGTCCGCGTCTACCTGTTGCCAGAAAGGAGGTGGGCATGTCGTAAAAAGACTTCAGTGAAGCGCAAGACCCTGGAACCCCTGTTTGATGAGACGTAAGTGGACCATTGGCCTGCCTAGAGTGCCTCATTCATTCATGTATCTGTCAAGCACCTACCAGTATCTCTGACTTTGTGAAGCTTCTATTTTAAGTGGGAGAAAGGAGTGCCAGGGCAGTTTATCAAAGTGTCTACCCCCATTTACTGCCTGTAGAGGCTGGCTAAAGTGTTCCTAATTATGAAGTGTTCCTACTCTTTCTCTTTAAATGAAGTCTCTTTGGCAGTAAAAGGATTTGAATCTGTGTAGTCAAATATGTTTCTTTTTTGATCTGTTTTAATTCTAGCAGTTAAAAATAAACATTCCTTGAACCTCAGGACCTAAAATTTCCTCTAAAGCTCCAGACTTTTTAGCCTGTCTTCCCTCTTTCAACAAAACATAGATGACAGATGAAACAGCCTCTCCTCCATGTGGCTTTTCCACTCATTTCCTTGTGGACAAGGCTGGTAGACAGACTCTAATCACATTAATTACTTTTGATGGATCCTGTTGGCAAGTCTTATCCCAAATATTTTTATTCTTGATAATCCTCAAGGTACAGAAATCTGAATCTCTGCTTAAGGGTCCTAAGAGAAGACATTTCTAGCAGCATAGAGATTACTATACCTCATAGTTTTGGTTCCCTCTTATCCTAGTCAATAACTACTCATTTTGGGTCCTAAGAACTAGTGTTCCTTCAAGAACTACAGTTTGAGTTTAACAGTATCAAGAAAGGGTGTAGGAGGCTGGGCGAGGTGGCTCACACCTGTAATCCTAGCTCTCTGGGAGGCCAAGGTGGGAGAATCGCTCAAGGTCAGGAGTTTGAAACCACCCTGAGCAAGATTGAGACCCCGTTTCTGCTATAAATAGAAAAAAATTGATTGGCTAACTAAAAATATATATACAGAAATCAGCCGGGCATGGTGGCACATGCCTGTAGTCCCAGCTAGTTGGGAGGCTGGGGCAGGAGGATTGCTTCAGCCCAGGAATTTGAGGTTGCTGTGAGCTAGGCTGACACCATTGTGGCACTCCAGCCAGGGCAACAGAGTGAGACTCTGTCTCAAAAAGAAAAAAAAAAAAAAGAAAGAATGTGGGGAAGAGAGACTTTATTCATTCTACAATTGCTGAATACTTTGTTAGACACCATCCCATATTCTAGAACCACCCAAGTAAGAGATTTAACCCTCACAAAGGGCTCTGACACAATTATAAAAGGATGTCAAAACTGCTTATGTGGGAACACAGGAGGGAAAGGTTTAACATTTGAGACAAACCTGTTAGTAATTCTCCACATTTTAACAGCAAGATAAGCCTACATTATCTCGAAGACAGACTTGGGAACTCCCACCCTAAAAATAAAACTAGAAGTAAGGAATCCAGGGGCCTCTTGTGAGTATATTACAAAGATTTCTCTGCCTTACTCCATAGGAGGTGGCCACATTTTGCATGGAACTCCAGCAAACCTAACTGTTAATTGTCCTGGCCCTTAGGTGGTCAGAAAAAACTGAGAAAAGGAGTTGAAATGGTTCTCTGAGCAGGGTAAGGAAGGGGGGTTAAAAGAATGGTAGCCAGGGTAAAATCAAGAAAGTAAGATGCAAACTCCAAGCCACAGTAGACTGAGGCACTCCTCAGAGAGCCAAACAGCCTCCTGACACTTCCAGGGTTTGTGAACAATACAGGACAGTTATTATCTGTAAAAATGATGTGTTGAGTGCTTATGAGCCAGCCCTGTTCTAGATACTCTTAGGAGTTTGTATCTTCCATTTTAGTAGGGAAATGAAACACTTTAGATTTTCAACAAAAATGATTGAAATATGTAAATCTCATTTCCTGACTTTTCTTAAAGATTTGAATTTTTTGTTCCCATGGAAGAAGTAAAGAAGAGGTCACTAGATGTTGCAGTGAAAAATAGTAGGCCACTTGGCTCACACAGAAGAAAGGAGTTAGGAAAAGTAAGTACAAGAGAGTCTCTTGGTATTCTGTCCTTCTTGGTATTTTGACTCGAGTTTACTATAGAACATGTCCTTACAGAAATTCTGATGGAATCATTCTAGAACTGCCTTTAGGGAAAAGTCAGCTTCATTGGAATTTTTTGTTTTGTTTTTCATACTCTTGAAATGGAAGAACATAGAAGTATAAATTAATATGGATGAATCCTATTTTAAAAAACCCAAGAACCTATCCAAATCTATAATTCCACAAGTATTTGAACATCCACTGTGGCACTAAGTATTGTTTTGATAAATACAGCATTGTGTGAAGCTTGGATCTCATTAGGTCAAGATTCAGTGATGGGGTTTTACCTAAAGTAGAAGTAGAGGAAATATAATCCCTAGGAATATGCCAAGGAGAGACCAAAAATATGGTATTTGTACAATGCTTGGTAGTTATAATTTAATAAGCACCTTATATGCATCTTTGTAAAGCCCCCTTCTGTGAAGTAGGTGGTATTATCCCCAATTTTACAGATGAGGCAAGTTTCTCTTTCTATAACATTCTTAAATAAACTTGAAAATAAAAATTAAATTACCTAATCCTAAAGTAAAACTACAAACAGCAAATCATGTTTTCCCAGGACACTGAGGTCAGGGTTTGCACTGTTCCTTTGGAGAGGCTCTATGGTGAAAGCCAAAGGAAAAAGAGCCCCTTGACCCAGGCATGGTGGCATGCCTGTAGTCCCTGCTACTTGAGGCTATAGTATGCCATGATCATGCCTGTAAACAACCACTACACTCTACCTTGGGCAACATAGGCTTCATCTCTAAAATTAAAATAAATAAAAGGTGCCCCTGCTCAAAGCTCTGAAAACTAAGGAAGTGCCTTATGATCAGTTTATGCCAATATGTTTCCTTAATGCAGTGTTTTGGAGGGAAACTAATTATTTGTGATTGTTTAGGTACTGATTGACTTATCAAAAGAAGATCTGATTATGGGCTTTTCACAATGGTAAGTGTGCGCTTTCATTTCATCACTGTTAAGCTGCTATTCAAGACATTATCTCAATTGTGCCCATATTCTCTCTCCAAAGTTTTCCTTTTTCATCACCATTTCATCTCCTTTGGTTATCAAGAAGGGAAACAGATTAACAGCTTTACTTTTAAGGCTTTACTGCCTGCAGATCTCACCTAAAAGACCTCTCTGTAAACTCTATATCCTTAACCCTCCCTGGCCAACTTAGAGATGGCTTCTGCTGGTCCTACAGAGGCCCAGACAGGCAGCTTGTCCTATTATCACCATAACACACTCTCATTACTAACATTAAGTCCAAACTCAAACTGTCTTATAGGTATGAGCTGACTCCAGATGGACGGCCCAGAAGCTGATGATGAGTAAACAGCATTATCACCTTTATGTTAAAATGTGTATATATGTATATTTTTAAATCAGAACAGTCATTGGATGAAAATATATACATACATTTTTGTGTGGAATTCAACTGCATGGCTGAATAGTATAAAGAAGAGATAGAGTTATTTAAAAGAACGAACTACTTTTTCTTGATTGGATTCAAATCTGGAAAGAAACGGTGTATTCGTGCCTTTAGTAAGTTATTAAAACCTCAGTGGTGTTTTTTTCACTTTTGGTAATTATATACCATCTGATTTATGACTTGCTACAAGTGTCCTGTCCCTGACAAAGGGGGTAGGAGAGGTCTGTTTCTGGAACAGGTACAAGTACCCCTGGGTAGTAACTAAGGGAGGTCGCTTCTTTTAGGGAAATAAAAAGTGACTCAACCCAAAACTGCCAAGAGCTAACACTGCCAAAGCCCTTCCGGCTGCCACCTGTGGGACTTGTATGCCTGGAGATTGTTCCTGTATTTGACTCGGAGTTATTAATAAAAGGTATTTTCCTAATGGCAACAATATCATAGTGATACACTTAAATACTTTGAGTTAAGGGCCAAAGTCTGGCATTACTTCCACAGGAAAATGCAAGCCAGGTGTATGTCTGAACTCTCATAGCAGAGCACTGGAGAATGCTGAAGAGTGTCACTGCCATGGAGGAAAAGGAGCTTTCTGTATTAGACATGTAAAGTGTATATTTAAACAAGTGCCTCTTTTGCATTTCAAACTTTATAGGACCAAATATACTACTTGTTACCTATGATGTTCTGGAACTGTTAAGGTCATTATCATTTTCTGTCTTACCTGCTCAAGCAACACTCCTTATTATCAGTTTCCTATCCTCACCACTGCCTTTACTGCTGCTTTTCTGAAGAATGGCAACATCCTAAAACAAAGTCTTAGTCATGTTACTCTTACTTACAAATTATCTGATTTCCTATTTTCTGTAAAATCAAAGCCCACTCCTTAATTTGCTTTTTAGACCTGACATAATCTGGTTTCCATTTTTCTGCTACTTTATTCATGTGCAGAATAGTCTAAATACTATGCCCTGCCTACTCACTTCTTAACCACTTTGGTACGGCACTCACCGGCCACGAAATCTTGCCCACAGCTGGCACTCAGAGTCTTCACGATAGTTTGTGCTGTGCATTGACGACGAATCCATTTTACTCTTGTGTGATGAGGAAAGCTTGTTTTACTTTACAGGCAGCTTTAGGAAAATAACTATAACAACTCCTACTAAGGACTTGTTAAAAGGTCACAGATTCGTAGTAACTTATTAGCTGAACATACGCACTGCAACTGCAGAGATAAAAGCTGTAAAAGCAAAAGCTTTTGGCTGTTGACTAAAGTTGATGCTCGGCTGTGTATGTTCATCTGTGACTATCGACTATAGTCGATGCTTGTACTGAAGTGGTTAAAGGCCAATTTCAAACCCATCTGCTCCATTAAGCCAATCCACAGTGAAATGGCCTTTCCCTACCACCTACAGCATTTACTGTCAACATTGTGCATTTTCCATTTTAATAGGTCCCAGCCTTATAACACTAAATTTTAAAAAATATTTATTAGGTGTCTACTAAGGTCACATACTAAACAACTACTTACATTGTGTTTGGTATTTAATGTTTCTGTTTACTTGAATTGTTTTTTACCCTTACCATCCAAGATTGTCCTAAGTACATGGAAAATACATAATAAAATTTTTGTTTGAGGTTTCTATTTTGAATGATAAATTTTCAAAATAAGGTAATTAATCCCTATTCTGTATCCCTCACAGTGACACTGTAATTACTTCCTAAATAGATAAATGACTTGAAAAGGGTAATACACCAGAAAGTATAAGGTAATATATCATATATTACACCCTCACAAGGTGGCAGACAAGTGAAAACCTACCCTTCCCTCCTTCCAAACACACAGTGAACAACATTTTTTAAAAAATATGGCCAATTAAAAACAACACAGGTCAAGTATTCCAGTGATGGTCCAAAGAGGAAAATACAGAGTATAGGAGATGAAGGTGAGTTAAAATGTTGAAGGAAAATGAGAATTTTAGCATACACTAGATAAGAGGCAAGGCACCTAAAAAGTTTTATCTTGCCAGAAAACAGGCCAGGCATGGTGGCTCACGCTTGTAATCTCAGCACTTTTGGAGGATCACTTGAGGCTAGGAGTTTGAGATCAGCCTGGGCAACAGGGTGAGACTCCTAGGAACCCTGGAATCCCTCACTATCTACCTAACAACTTTCAATTAAATAAGTCAGTTGCAGAGAGAGCAGAGAAATAAGATGAAAATAGCAAAGCCTACAAGAAATGTGATCATGTGAAGAGGCCTAACATGTAATTATAGGCATCCCTGAGGGTGAAGAAGAAAATACAAAAAGGTTGGATAAACTATTTGAGACTGGCCAAAATAAACACCAAGGAGGCCCTCCTATGAGCTGTAAGGCAAAAGAAGCAGGTAACCTAAAAAGAAAAACCCATAAGACTAACTGCAGACTTCTCCACTGAGACCTTACCAGACAGAAGAGCCTGAGGCCCCATTCTCACTCTTCTCAAACAGAATAATGCCCATCCTAGAATCTGGTACCCTGCAAAACTAAATCTGATGACTGTATATGGTGATATCTTCCTATTTGCAATGCAGGAGTCCTTCAAGCTTCTTGTACCTGGATATCCAGATTTTTAGCAAGGCCATCTAATCTTTGACAAAGCGGACAAACTTGCACTAGGGAAAAGAATCCTTATTCAATAAATGGTGCTGGGAAAACTGGATAGCCACATGTAAAAGACTAAAACAGGATCCATACCTTTCATTTCTCACAAAAATCAACTCATAGTGGGTAACAGACTTAAACCTAAAGTATGAAACTATAAGAATTGTAGAAGAAAATGTTGGAAAAACTCTTACATCATTAGACATTGGCCTAGGCAAAGAACTGATGAAGAAGAACCCATTATGAAGAAGATCCCAAAGGCAATCACAGCAACAACAAATGTAAATGGGACCATATCAAATTAAAAAGCTTCTGCAAAGCCAGAGAAACTATCACGAGAGCAAACAGACAACCTACAGAATGGGAGAAAATATTCGCATGCTACACATCTGAAAAAGGGCTGGATAACTAGAATCTATATAGAATTCAAGAAAATCAGCAAGAAAAAAATCAAACAACCGTATCAAAAAGTGGGCAAAGGACATGAACAGAAACTTTTCAAAGGAAGACAGAAGAATGGCCAACAAACATATGAAAAAATGCTCAATATCTCTAATCATCAGGGAAATGCAAATCAAAACCACAATGAAATATCACTTATCCCCAGTGAGAATGGCCTTTATCAAAAAATCCCCAAACAATAAATGTTGGCGTGGATGTTGAAATTGGACCACTCATACACTGCTGGTGGGACTGCAAACTAGTACAGCCTCTATGGAAAGTAATATGGAGATACCTCAAAGAGTTACAGTAGAATTGCCATTTGATCCAGCAAACTCATTACTGGCATCTACCCAAAGGAAAAAAAGACACTCTATTAAAGACATCTGCACAAGGATGTTTATAGTAGCACAATTCACAATTGCAAAGATGTGGAAATGACCCAAGTGCACATCAGTACATGAGTGGATTAATAAAATGTGGTATATGTGTACCATGGAGTTCTACTCAGCCACAAAAAGCAATGGTGATCTAGCACCTCTTATATTATCCTGGATGGAGCTGGAGCCCATTCTACTAAGTATCCCAAGAATGGAAAAACAAGCACAACATGTACTCACCATCAAATTGGTATTAACTGATCAACATTTATACTAGTAACATTCACTGGGTGTTGGGCAGGGAGGAGGGGATGGGTATATTCACACCTAATGGGTATGCTGTGCACTGTCTGGGGGATGGACATGCTTGAAGCTCTGACTCGGGTGGGGCAAAGGCAATATATATAACCTGAATATTTGTACACCCGTAATATGCTTAAATAAAAAATAAAAGAAAAATCAACACCCCCTCCCCAAATAGAGGGGTAAAGCATAAAATAACACAATAAATAGAAAATACAAAAGAGGATGGTTAAAAGACATCTAAATGTATTTGTAATCACAACAAACACTACAAAAATCTAGAATATCAAGTCACAAAAGTAAAAAGCACAGCTACATGTGCTGTTTACACAGGTTCACTTCAACATAGAAATGCTAAAAATAAAAAGATGAAAAAGATACACCCACAAATACTTTAGGTTTCTGTTTCTATTAATGATAGCAGACATATGAAGAGAAGGTTGCTTCCTATCACCATTTCTACTCAAACTGTATTGTGGCCCAGGTGGTAAAGCAAAAAACAGGTATATCTAACCAAAACAATTGTTATGTGCAAATGATATGATCATAAGCACAAAATCCAAAATAATCTAAATTGCTAGAATTAACCAGAAAGTTTTTAGCTGAATAAAAAAATGTAAAAAAAATTCAATTGTAGTTCTGTTCTTTCAACAGTTAGAAAATGAAATTTGAAAAAGATGTTATAAATGCATGAAACATCAAATACTATCAACCCATTCAAAAACCGCATACAAAAATTATAAAACTTTAAAAATAAATGTTAGGGTAAATCTAAAACAAATGGAAAGCTATGCCATGTTCAAGGTTGGAAGACCCAACAGATGCCAGTTTTCCCCAAATTGATCTATGTGTTTAATGAAAGCCCACAAAAATCTTCATAGGTTGTGTGTATAACTTGATTCAATATACATGGAAATACAAAGAATGAGAAGCCTTCAGCTGGATAACAAGGTTTATTTTAAAGCTATAACAACTAAGGCAGGGTGGTACTAGTGCAGGGAGAGACAACTCAGCCAAAAAAACCAGAAAAGAGTCTATTAGACCCATTCCCATATATTAAATAGAATATTTAATTTATAGCACTGTGAATGAAGGGAAGGGATAGATTTTCAATAAATGGTGCTGGGACAATTGGCTATCCATGTGAGAAAATATGAAATGGTCCTTTACTCATACCATATTAAAAAATAATCCACTCCAGGTGTATTAGACTAAACATAAATGACAAAACTTATATAGCTTTAAGATAATATAGAGAATAACTTTGCAACTTGTGACTAAGGCAAGATTTCACAAAGAACTATAAAGGAAAAGAGCATACATCTCTACATGAAAATTGGGTTCTCTGTTCAAAATAATAAACTCTAGCCAGATGTAGTAGTATGTACTTGCAGTCCAAGCTACTTGAGAGTCTAAGGTGGGAGGATCACTTGAACCCCCAGGAGTTTGAGGTCAACCTGGGCAATATATAGCAAGACCCCATCTCAAAAAACAAAATGCCACAAACTATAGGAAAATGCAAAGATAGGCCACAGAATGGAAGTAGATACTGGAAACACATATAACTGTCAAATGACTCATGTCTAGAATATATGAGTAATTTTTACAAATGATTAAGAAAAAGATAATAGAAAAATGGACAAAAGACATAAGCACTTCAAAAAGGAAAAACAAATGTCCAATAAAGGAAAAGATGTTTAACTTTATTAGTAATCAGGGAAATAAATATTAAAACCAAAGTAATAGCTCTCTACACTGCACTGGCAAAAAGGATGTGTAAAAGTGGGAACTTTCATATATTGCTGTGGGAGTGAGTATAAATTGGTAAAACCACTTTGGAAAATAGTTTGGCATTAGCCAGGTGTGGTGGATCACACCTGTAATCCTAGCACTCTGGGAGGCTGAGGCGGGAAGATCCTTTGAGCTCAGAGTTTGAGACCAGCATGAGCAAGAGGAAGACCCTGTCTCTACTAAAACTAAAAAGAAATTATCTGGACAACTAAAAAAATATATATAAAAAATTAGCCGGGCATAGTGGCACATGCCTGTAGTCCCAGCTACTTGGGAGGCTGAGGCAGTAGGATTGCTTGAGCCAAGGAGTTTGAGGTTGCTGTGAGCTAGGCTGATGCCATGGCACTCCAGCCCTGGCAACAGAGCGAGACTCTGTCTCAAAAAAAAAAAAAAAAAGAGAAAGAAAATAGTTTGGCATTTTTTCCTAAAGTTGAAGATACACATTCTCTATCAAAGTCACCACACTGTACAACTCCAGAGGCTTCACTCACATTGTTATCTACAGAAATGTTTTTTGCCTCAAGTTGTATAGTACACAGCCTGTGTGGCTATACACAGAAGTATTTCCCCTATGAATCAACAATTTTAGTTCTGGATATATACTCAAGAAAAATTGCACACACTGTATGAGGATGCATGCTGTTTCATAGCAGCGCTGTTCACAATAAAAATGAAAACCCAAACAACCCCTAGTAGAACAGACAAATGAATTACGAAATATTCATAGATGGAATACTATTAATATATAGCAATGAAAATAAATGATCTGGAACTAACATACAACAACATGGATGTATAGTACAAACATAATATTGAACAAAAAAATATTGTAAAAAATATATACAATATGATTTCATTTTTATAAAAACAGGCAAAACTAGGCCAGATGCAGTGGCTCACACCTGTAATCCCAGCACTTTGGGATTACAGGTGGGAGCATCACTTGAGGCCAGGAATTTGAGACCAGTTTGGGCAACATAGTGAGACCACATCTCTAAAAAAAATAAAAATAAAACTAACCAGGTGTGGTGGTGCGTGCCTGTAGTGTCAGCTACTCAGGAGGCTGAGGCAGGAGGATCGCTTGAAGCCCAGGAGTTTGAGGCTGCAATGAGCCATGTATGATCACACCACTGCACTCCAGCCTGAGTGACACAGTGAGACCATGTCTCTAAAAAAAGAAAGATTTAAACAACACAATAGCATAATGTATTTATAAGAGAAATTAGACTTTTTAAAGAGCATTATGGAAAATGTATAAAAATTCATTACATCTAAAGTCAAAGAAAGTCTCAATAAATTTCAAAGACTCAGTACCAAAGAGACAAGGTTGTTTGACTACAACACAATAAAATTAGGGGAAAAAATAATATTAATAAAATGACAATCCAAGCCCTAAATATTTTCAGACTTAAAAAATCACACTTCTAAACTTCCCCTTTTAGCCCGGATGGAGTAACAGAAACCAAACTTACCCTACTGCCGATAACAACCAAAGCCAAAATCAAAACAAAAAACACAATACATGAAACAAGAAGTTTCAAGACATTGGATTATCAAGTGTATGTTCATAGAAAGATCTGACATTAATGTTCATAAGTTTTATATATAGTCAAAAATTGGAAATAGGCCAGGCGCGGTGGCTCACACCTGTAATCCCAGCACTCTGGGAGGCTGAGGCGGGTCGACTGCTCGAGGTCAGGAGTTCAAAACCAGCCTGAGCAAGAGCGAGACCCCCATCTCTCCTATAAATAGAAATTAATTGGCCAATTAATATATATAGAAAAAATTAGCTGGGCATGATAGCACATGCCTGTAGTCCCAGTTATTCGGGAGTCTGAGGATTGCTTGAGCCCAGGAGTTTAAGGTTGCTGTGAGCTAGGCTGACGCCATGGCACTCACTCTTGCCTGGCCAACAAAGCAAGGCTCTGTCTCAAAAAAAAAAAAAAAAAAATTGGAAATAACCCAAATTTCCATCAACAGGTAAATGGATAAATTAGGGGTACATTTATAAAATAGAATACTACACAGTAATAAAAAGGAATGAACTCAATACATGCGACATGCAAAAATTTCAAAATAATTATGCTGAAAGATGCAAGACAAAAAAGAGAACATATTACATGATTCTATTTACATAAAATTCTGTAAAATCCCAACTAAACTATAATGAGAGAAAGCAGGTCAACTGTTGCCCAGGGATGGGAGAAGATGGGGAAGGACCAGAGGCAAAGAAAAAACTTTTGGAGTGATGGGTATATATGTCTATTATTTAGATTATGGTGATGGTTTTATAGGTGTTTATGTATATCAGAACTTACCAAATTACATGCCATAAATATGTAGTTTATTATGTCAAGAATATATTAATAAATTTTTTTAAATCAGCCTAATATTTTAAATTATTTAAATATTGCTAAATAAAATAAATAAATAAATATTGCTAAATAATAATTGCAGTACTTTTCTTATATTTTAAATAATTTAAATTGGATAAAAGTAGATAAGGTAGGGAGGACATAAAGCTATTCATATTAGTGGCACTATCCTCAGTGGCCCTTGAGGCACTTCCAAAAAACCAGTAAGGCCTCTAGAGAAGAGTTTGAAAACTTCTACGTTAAGATAAGAGTCAACACAGGCTCTTAAACTAGCTGACAAATTTAGATTAAAATAATTTTTTAATTACATTTCTTCCTTTTAAATTTTGTTAGACTTCCAAACTGTGTCACAGCAATTTCTTGGAATAATTTAATCAATTCAGAGTATTTACATTATAGAATATCCAAGTACTTTTTCTACCCAATCCTGAAGTCATGGTTCTTCCACAAATTGTACGATAGTGTTTAAAAACACAATCACAGGCCAGTGGAGGCAGATGGAACGTAGTTTCTGCTAAAAAATAATCTGTTAAAATCTTTTTTATAGTATGAGGGAAAAAAGGCCTCTATCTTGCTCTTAAAACCAATTTAAAGCACTTTTTAAAATGCAGAAAGGAGGAAAAACAAAACAAACAATACTGATTAGTAAAGAAGTTAGCACAAATTGAATATAAGAAAAGGAAAGAGGCAGCCAAAGGTGAATTTTAATACACTAAGAGTTTACTCCATAAATTCCTTATTGTAAAATTTCAAGAAGCAAGCCATAAATCTGTCTTTGGTTATTCCAACAGCTAAGGAAAAGAGGGAAAATTGTCAGGTTTGTCGTTCACAATGCACATAAGAGTTATTCAGAACACTACTCCCAGGTAGAACCCTCCCGAGAGAGATGTGTTATGGGTGTCATGAAAATACAAGTTGGAAAATGCACATTGATTAGCAGACTTATCTATGTCCTGTATGGGCACTCTTGAACCTGTTCTCTTGTCAGGAGGGGGAGTCGTGGGAGTGCACATCAAAGAGCTCTATGTGCATCACCTATACTGGGGTGGTTTGGAGAGTAATGACTTATTTGATGTTATGGGGGAACTCAATCTCAAAGAAATGGTTGTGAGGGACTGTATCAAATCCATGTTGTTATTATAAAAATATAAACCCCAAATGGTTCTTCAATAACTAATATTTCTCACAAATATTGTGCCTGGTACATAATAGTCATGTAACTTTTTTCAATGAATAAACAAGTGCTCTGGAAAAAAAAATTGGTTGACAAAACAAAGAATTTTAAGTCTAGAAGGAACCTACTATCTTATGTCTGATCCCTACTAAGCCTAAGATCACAACATCAAAGATCTGGATGCTTGTCTATTGCCATTTACTCTCTATTCCACCAAACTGCTTCCTGGAAATGCTTTACAATATTCTATATGCCAACTAACAAGAATGACTGAGAAGTCTTCAAGGTGGCTTTTACTCATGGATATGAGGAAGAACACTGGTCCCTTAAGAAAAATCTGATTGAATATTGAGAATAGAGAACAAGTAGAAGGCAGCAAGTAAAGATTCTTATGTAAAATGCAGCAAGGATGAACCCATCGCCCAAGGAAGGTTCAGCCTAGGAAGAGAATATGACTCATTATTTGTAATTAGTACAAATAAGTCACTGACGACACTTTAGTTTGAAAATTCTTTACAAAATTTTATTTAAGATTTCATGTCCTTATAAAAAAGTGCATTACATCAAGATTGCAAAAAAGACACTTTTTTTATGAGGGACTATTCATCTACTCATCTATTTTACCCCATGATTCATCTCCTACCCTAACATAAATGATAAAACATTTTTCTTTCTTCCTTTTCTTCCTCCTGCTTCAAAAGGGCAATTGCCATGAGGGATATCTAAATAGAATGTGCCAATTAATCCTTGCTAGGAGAGCAGTAGCTTCCTAGTGCCTGGACTTAGCCATTGGCATGCCTTTTGCCCTGAACCAAAGGTCACTAAACCCTAAACTTACTTGCAATCTCTCTCCCTGAGTTCCTCTTTTACTCACAAATTTTACTTTAAAACAACCTTAAATTTTAAGCACTCAAGAATTGCTTAAGAAATGATTAAGGGACCTAAAATTAATTTACTACTTTAACTTAGCAACTATTTTCTCTATAGGAATCTCAAAGTTAGTAAAAATTATATAGATGGAGAATGACCCAATACTAAGAAGAGGATGAATTCTGAGAGCAAATACATTTCATTGCCCTTGTCTCAAAATAAGATCCTACAAAATACAAAATGTTAAGAATACAATTTACACAGTAAAAATGATTTGGTATGTTTTCAGTATGAAAGTACTTTTAATTTCTTTACTGCAGGTACAATAGCATCCAAGTCATCAATTTCTGTAACAGAAAAACAAGAATAAAAAAAGAGTAACTTTTTCTAGTGATAAGCTCAGTTGAAATGAGAACCTCAATGCAAAGGCAAACCTCAAACATAAAGGCAACAATACTGGTGCTCTTATGCACATGAAGTGTTTGTCCAATAGTGGTGACAGATTATCACTGATTCGGATACAGATGATTCATAGGACATCTCTTTATAAAAGCTACCACATGCCTACAAGGAGCTTCTGACTCTGGTATTACCTCATTAGCAGTGTACTCTTATTAATAGATCCAACTGGCTACATTTATATGTCAGTGCTCTTTACATCTGTACAACTACATGTGTGTGCCCACATGGTGAAATTCCAGGTAGACACGTCTCTTCTCTGGGTATCCATCTGAGGACTTAGTAATTACTTCTTATAGAACATAGTCTTGTCTCTTGGGAAGATTTCCCATTAGTGGGATCACACTTAGGTCTACCTTTTAGGATGAGAGGTATCTGCCTCATAAAAGGTGAGAGGCTCCTCAGGGTACAAACATTAAGTGCAATGTAGTATACAGCTTAGCCTGGTCCAGCTTACCAGATAAACCACGTAAAGTTATTCTCTGACAGGTTCTTTCTGAATTTGATTTTATTTTCTAAGACTATCTTATTCCAACCAGCCTTAGTCAGAATTCACTCTCTAAAGCTCTTGGCCACTGATGAAGGGCTGGGGTCTGAAGTAGAGCAGACCCCAGCCCTACTTAAGGTGAGCCCCAATGGCAGGTGTTCTAGATGCCCACTACTTTTTTCTAGATTATTCTTCCAGGGCATTATTCATAAACTCATTTCCTTTACATAAAACATGCTTCCTTAGATTCTAACTCTCTCCATTCTTTATCTGGATTTTGTTTGCTCTCCCTTTTAGCCAAAACACATGACCCATGCTGTCCCACTATTCATTTAGTTCTTTAAGCTCTTGATTTCAGTCAGAATACTTATCTAGAACCACTTACAAAGCATCAAGACATAGGAAAGGAAATGATATAAGCAAACCTACAATGGAGAATTTGATTCATCCCTTACATTGTTGTAAGGTATGAAATTATTCCCTGACCTCCCATTCTGAAATCCTGTTTTCTCACTAAATGAGGAACCTACCTTATAAACAAACCCCACAAAGAAGGACCTTGGCTGATGTAGGAATTTTCTCAGCCAATCATACCACTTATATAGGAATTTTTTTTTTTAATCACAATTATCACTGAAGGCTGTCTACATATCTGGTATTCAGTATATCAGTCTATGTTTAGATGCTTAATGACATCTAGTAATAAAAAAAAAGTCATGTTTGTCAAACATTTAACTTTCCTCATGTTAAATATAATATTTAACCTCAGAATTTCAACTTTGACCAAAATACAGAATTCATCTGCAGGGAAATGGCTTTCTAAAGCAAATTATCTTATATCAACCATGCTGAGTGTCCTAATATCTGAGAAGTTTCTATAGAAGCATTCTGAAATAAGTTTACCAGCACACATATGAAGATGTTTATTAATGTACCAAATATTTATTAATGACAAGAACGTCACTGTTTAATAGCCAACCCAAAGCAAGCAGAATCATTCTACAAAATCAGGCTCTTTAGGATACCAGGCAACATAATTATATAATGTCATGCCTCATCTCAAGTTTAACTACCAAATTATATCTGCACTTGCTACTATCTTTTCAAACATTACAAGCATGCCTAAAGCATGCTCACTGTCTTCCTTGCTTCTTTAGTCCACATAAAAGTAGCCACAAAACTTCCTTTAGGTTCACTACACTATATGTTCTAATCAGGTATTTCTTTCATTTATTCATCCTTTTACTAAGTTTTAATGTACTCATTCCCTTATCTTCCTACCAAGCCTCATCTCCTCTTCTAAATCAAGGAGTCATTCTTTTTTAAAAAAAATTTTTCAGGGGAGTGGGGCAGGTATATACATATATAATGAGTGAGATGTGCACCATCTGGGGGATGGTCATGCTGGAGACTCAGACTTGTGAGGGGAAGGGGGAAAGGGCATTTATTGAGACCTTAAAATCTGTACCCACATAATATGCCGAAATAAAAAAAACTAAAACATAAAAATTTTTTTCAAAGGAGCTATACATAAAAAAAGAATTCTTTTACTGAATCTTATTAAGAAGAAATCTTATTACTGAATCACTTTAAACTTTAAAAATTATTCTTAATAGTAAGGTAACTTAATTTTATAGCCATGTATAATATTACATTTAAAATAGATAGGGTCTTTATTTTGTCTATGATTCCTAAGCAAATTACATTTTTAAAATTTTTTTCCTTTTAGGAGATACTTCTACTAATGAGGCCCTCAGTATGACCAGCAGTATAAGTGTAATACTTCATTTCTTCCTTTCTATAGATATTTACTACTTTATATTACTTATCACCTGAGAAGAAATTTTAAAAACATGGTAGGTAAGTGATAGCTTAAAAAAACAGTGGGGGGGAAAAAAGGAAGGAAAGAAAGAAAAAACCTTCTAAGAGCATAAATTTCTCATTAGGGAATGACAGAGCCAGGGTTAAACTGGGTATGGCCAGAGTAACACCATTTCTCATGATAAGATCCTCAAAGAGAGTCCCTATCTCCTTTAAGGGTCTGTGCTTCTTTTCTGTGGATTAATCCCAACAAACTCTAACTGCAAGTTAGGAATGTGTTTCCAGAACTGTTAGTAGTTAGTATCTATCAAACGCTCTGGGTAAAAAATACTAATCCAGTGAATAAGGAACACCCTTCTCTCAAACCCACTGACATTTTAAAACTCAAAATTTAACCACCACCAACAGAGATCTTACCTAAGATTTCAAGTAGATCATTAGTAAATGTCTGAAATGCTGGGAAAAATTCTTCATGTTCTTCCAATTTGTTGATAATGCTGTTTAAAAAATACACAGTTTACACCTAATTTCCAATTTAGGGTTCTTGCATCTTACTGTAAACAGGTGGTTATGAATATAACATTTTTAAAATGAAAAGAAACTATCTTGCTAATTTAAATATAAATTCAATGGTCATTTACTTCAGTCCTTCCTTTTTTGAGCTCTTTGTTCAATATTGCTTTTCTAAAAAAGGTATCTCATAAATTAGTGTAAAATTTGTTAAACTTATGTAACATTCCTAACATGGCAAGCTTCTCATTTAGCTCAAGCCTTCTTAGAGACACCATGTTTTCACAGCATTCCAAAAATAATTAGCTTTTATACTCAATATCCTATTAAACAGTAAGAACAAGTTTCAGTCAATAAAACTGTGGGAAGGGGAAAACAGAGCAATAGTGAGATATATGTTCCTTTTAAAAGCATCAAATATCAGAAGACTCAAGTGTCAGATTACGCAAGGGTTCTTTTTGGAAAACTTGCAGAACATAAGGAATATGTGGTTTTATATATGTGTTTCCCTTTCTGCACACTGTAGCATAAAACTGGGAGACAGGATGGGGGAAAGTTGCTTTAGGTATAGCTACAATGTCTCAATACTTATTAAAAACCTCAGATTTTATGTTAGAGATGCCTAGTCTTTTTAAAAATACTTAACATTTATCTCCTAAGCAAATAATTAATAAATATACTATTAGTGAATATTCAGTGGTCCATGGTAGTATCCTAAAAATAGGATTTCTTGATACAATTTGAACACCCAGGAAATTGCTAACAAGGTTTGAATTTCTCCATATATAATTTTCCCTGAGAAGAAGCTTATGCTGAAGTATTCATGACCCTCTATGTTTATCTTGAAAATACTCAGCATTTTTCATTCCTAAGGGTGTGAGATTTTAGGTTATCAAGTTATTTAAAAGATGCTAATCGAAATAGGAAAGGTAAATAATTTATGAAGTTTTGAAAGCCTTTAATTTCACTCCTCCAAGTATTCTGGATGATACTTTTTTTTTTTTTAAAGAGATAGGGTCTCACTATGTTGCCCAGGCTGGACTTGAACTGGGGCACAAGTGATCCTCCTGCCTCAGCTCCCAAATAGCTGGGATTACAGGCACACACCACTGGACCCAGCAGTTTCTAGATGATATTTTGTAAACTGTCCAAACAAATACCTTTGGAGGTCTTCAGGTCCTAATACCTGCTTAACCTGCTCATTCACATTCTCATTAATCAGCCTACACAATTTTCCAACTGTGCTTACCAGCACACACAATGAGGATGAACTATCTGCAAAAGAGAAATAAAAAGAAAGGATATTTTAACAGAGAATTTCCAGAATCATTATATCCATGAAATATTTTAGGCTTCAGTGATCCTCACTTGTTTTTACTTAAAAATTTTTTTTACCTACTTTTTGTTAATTTATTAGGAATCATTCTTAAATGGACGCCAAAAAATTAGTGTCATCACCTAATTCTAAGAGTTCTTGGAGGTTTCTCACAGCATTGTTCATTTCTCCAAGCCTTGTATAAACTTCATTCATTCGGGGATAGACTCCATTTAAAGAAGGCACATCAAATAATTTCTGGAAGTGAGAGACAATAGCTTGCAATGTTTGAAAGTTTGGCATATTGTTGTCCTGTTCAAAAGAGAAGGTAAAAAAGAAAAATAGTTGACATTTTAAAATAATCCCAAATCTTTAGTAAAAAATACTTCAAAAAGAGAAATAGAACTCTAGTAGAACAAATATTAATATCTATTTCAAATTACCAATTTTTTGTCTGTAAAGATTCCAAAGGGAAAAAAATTATCAATTTTTAAGATAAGAATACATTAAAATATAAACATTTATATAAGTACTAAATATTACCTTTTCCTTATTTTCAACTTCTTCCAACATGGTATCTACTATAAATAACAAATCTTCAACTTTGATACCTTCATTTTCGTTCTGCTTCTTTAAATTATGCCAAGGCACCAGTTCTGTAGATAGTATTTTCAAGGACTTATACAAATCCTTTATAACAAAAGGTATTATTGATTAAGTAAAATTTCTATAGTAACAGTAAATAAAACATAATTATCCAGATAGGTTAAAAAATATATCTATATAACTATCATCAGTATTAAAAAAATACTATTACTAATTTAGAACAAGCCTGTTAAAATTAGGTATCTCCAGATAAATGGAAGCCCTACAAAAAAATTACATATTGTTTATTCTGAGTATATGCTAAGTAATTTTTATTATTTTTCTAGATTATTTAATTACTTTGAATCATTTACATATAAAGTTTGTCCTTATTTTTTTTTCTTGAGACAGAGTCTTACTCTGTTGCCCGGGCTAGAGTGCCTGGCATCAGCCTAGCTCACAGCAACCTCAAACTCTTGGGCTCGAGCAATCCTCCTGCCTCAACCTCCCAAGTAGCTGGGACTACACATATGTGCCACCATGCCCGGCTAATTTGTTTTATATATTTTTAGGTGCCCAGCTAATTTCTATTTTTTTTTAAATAGAGACAGGGTCTCGCTCTTGTTCAGGCTGGTCTTGAACTCCTGAGCTCAAAGGATCCTCCCACCTCGACCTCTCAGAGTGCTAGGATTACAGGTGTGAGCTACCATGTCCAGCCTGTCCTTATATTTTGTTTTGAATTTTTTATAACAGCTTTATTGAGATGTAATTCACATACCATAAAATTTACCCTCATTAAATATACAATTCAGTAGTTTTATATTTTCACATAGATTTGCAAACATCACCACTATCTAATTTCAGAATATATCCATCACCCCAAAAAGAAATCCCACTCACGGTTCTTCCCCCTTCTACCCTCCCTGCAGCTCCTGGGGTAACTACTAGCCTACTTTCTGTTTATATGGAGTTGCCTACTGTGGACATTTCACATAAATACAATTATATAATAACTGACATTTTGTGACTGGCTTCTTTTACTTAGCATAATGTTTGAGATTCATCCATGTTGTAATATGTATCTCCAGGCAGGTTTTTTTGTTTGTTTGTGTTTTAAAGAGACTACGTCTGCTATGTTGCCCAGGTTGACCTCAAACTCCTGGGCTCAAGTGATCCTCCCACCTCAGCCTCTTGAGTAGCTGGAACTATAGGTACCTGCTACCTGACTCCAGGCAGGTTTTTAATGTGAAAGGATCCCTAAATTAATTCTACTTTATCTTCTTAACACCCTACTTAGTTTTTTTGGCCTAGACATGTTGCTCCATTTTAAGCTGTGCATGAGGGGCAAGGCTAATAAAAATTTAGAGCTCTAAAACTGATCAATCAAATATTTACTAGGCATCTACTACAGGTTAAACATCTCTAATCTGAAAATCTGAAATGCTCCAAAATCTGAAACTCTGAACATTGATATGACACTCAAAAGAAATGCCCATTGGAGCATTTTGGATTTTCCAGTTAGGGATGCTTAACCAGTATATATTCTGCAAATATCTCCAAATCTGAAATAATCCAAAATTGAAACACTTCTGGTCCCAAGCATTTTGGGTAAAGGATATTCAACCTGTACATGCATGGCACAGTGCTTGCCCTTTAGAACAGTGCCATCCAAAAGAAATATAATGTGAGCCTTGGCAATTTTTAGTTGTCTAGTAGCCAAAATATGGAATGTAAAAACAAACAGGTGATATTATCTTTAATATATTTTATTTAACCCAATATATATCCAAAATATTATCATTTTAATATATAATCAATATTTTAATTTTTTCCGTAGTAAGTCTTCTAAAGCAGCAGCCCCCAACCTTTCTGGCACCAGGGGCCAGTTTCATGGAAGACAATTTTTCCACAGACTGGGGATTGGTGGGTGGCGTGCAGAGCTCGGGTCCATTTCCTAACAAGCTACAGACTGGTTATAGGCTGTGGCCTGGGGATTGGGGACTGCAAGTTGTAAAGCCAATATTTTACACTTACAGCACAACTCAATTGGGACAAGCCACATTTCAAGTGATTAATAGCCACATGTAGCTATTGGCTACTATATTGGACAGCACAGCTCTAGAATACTGAAAGAAGTATAAGAATTCCCTCCTTTTTCTAACTATTTATGTTAGTCCTCCACTTATTTAACACTCCCCAATTAAGGCCCACAACTCACATATTGCTATCTTTAACCTTTCATTTGGTAGGAAGGCAGTTACCTCTTTTAGCAATGCATGACAAATGAATGTTTTACAATCAGGGCCACTAGAATTTGAACAAAAGTCAGCAAATAGCAGCATAATGACACTTTTATTAACCAATGCTCCATCAACAAGGCACATTTATAAAGAAGTGGTCTATGGTTAAAGGCACACCCAGTCTTTTAAGTTTTTGCTTGAGAATAAAAGAGTATTTATTACAAAGCTAAGAAGAAAAGATGATCTGGTCTCCTCAGCAGTGTGATATAGTCCATCCCATAAACTGTGCAAAATATAAGAGGTTCTCCTAAGTTCTTCATACCCAGTTGTGGGGATGTAGAAGTACTACCATGGGCCTGCCCACCTTGTATGTCTGGCCTCTGGAGCACTGAGAAATGGGAAAGCAACAGTGCACAACAGTGTACTGGGTGGGTTGGGAAAAGATACAGCATCTATAGCTCACCTTTCTTGGAAAGGCAGGAAGGAAAAGAGAGAAGGAAGGAGGCAGCTAATTGGCTCCATGCCTTTCCCAACCTCCCTTTTTTTTCAATTTTTTTTATTATAGTAAAATACACATACTTAAAATTTACTCTCTTAACCATTTTTCAGTGTAGTTCAATGTTATTAAATATGTTCAAAATGTTGTACAACCATTACCACCATCTATATCTGCATAACTCTTTCCATCTTATAAAACTGAAGCTCTGTACCCATTAAATAACCCCCCCTTCTCTCCTCCCACCAGCAACCACCATACTTTGCCTCTATGATTTAGACTACTCTAAGTAACTCATATAAGTGGAATCGTATGGTATTTGTCTTTTCATAACTGATTTATTTTTTAGCATCATGTCTCCTCATAATGTGCATCCATGCTGTATGGGGTCAGAATTTCCTTCTTTTCATGGCTGAATAGTATTCCATTATATGTTTATACTACATTTTGCTTATCCATTAATCCCTCAAACTTACCCTTTTAAGCCAAATCTAACCTGAGGGGGGGAAAATGATCTGGGAAGATGGTTGTCTCAAACTTAGAGGCTGCTACCTTATAAAAAACTTTAATATGAGGCCTCAAAGAATCTCATGTAGTTTCTTAATTTGGACCCTAAAACTATAGTATAAATATCTGAAGCACCACCCCAAATACATGAGTTACTTCAGTGGCAGAAGTAACTAATTTGAAATAAATTATTCTTGGGTGTCCTCAGAAAATTCTAATTGTTCTAGAAAGCTAATTCCTTGCCTCCTTCTACTTGGAAAACTAAATACAGCAGCAAGAACTCAGTACCACTGCAAAGCCCTTCTTGGGGGCTATAATCAGAGTGATCTTTCCTTCTCCAGACGCTAGAACACAAGTTATCTGCATCATTCTCTTGGAACTTATCATGTGATCTATTTTTATGGCATTCAATCTTCTAATGATATCATGAATGATCCTTTAAATTTTATTACATATTTTAAAATATATTTTGTCTCTCCGATTAGTCTGGATCCTGTATTTACCTTTTCTGATACTTCATAATGTTTTGAACATAGTAAATCAATAAATATCCATTAACTTGATTCTTCCCTTTGCCTTCCTCCTCTTCTAGTCTTTTCCATTCTGTTGGGAAAGCTAGAGCTTTTTCTAGTCCATCTCTTCTAAGGAGGAGGAAAGTGGAGTTAGCACTATTCCCTCCCACTGGGAGAACCCCCTGACAGGCCATGATTGGGGAAATGCCATGATTTATTTCACCCTTTTCTGAGATATAGACTGGAGGAACTCAGGCCTATAGAGTAGGTATATTAATCCAGCACTGTCAGTCAAAATGTTTATGTATTATACAGCTCTGTATCTGCAAATCTGCATATAGATTTGCTGTCTGAGCCCTACTTAAAAAGAGAAGTAGAAATTAAGCTGAATACAAAAATTTTTCATCAGTTACAGGTATGTTTTCATTAAAAGTTTTTAAAAATTTAACATTACCACCCCCCCCATTTTGTCTTAGAATATATTATCCTGCTTCATTCTTTTTAACAAATATTAATTGGGCATTCATTATCTATCAAGAGGATCCTTGGGGACATATCAGAGAAAAATAAGACAAAACTCTGTCTTCATTGAGCTTACACATTTTTTCATTTTTTTTTTTTTTGAGACAGAGTCTCCTGCTCTGTTGCCTGGGCTGGAGTGCCGTGGCATCAGCCTAGCTCACAGCAACCTCAAACTCCTGGGCTCAAGCAATCCTTCTGCCTCAGCCTCCTGAGTAGCTGGGACTACAGGCATGCGCCACCATGCCCAGCTAATTTTTTATTTATGTTTTTAGTTATCCAGCTAATTTCTTTCTATTTTTTTAGTAGAGATGGGGGTCTCACTCTTGCTCAGGCTGGTCTCGAACTCAAATTATCTGCCCGCCTTGGTCTCTCAGAGTGCTAGGATTATAGGCGTGAGCCACAACACTCAGCCAGAGCTTACACATTTTTAACAAAGATCTTCTGCATCATTTCCATTTCATGTAATAAGGCTTCTGTTGACAAATACTATTATTGAATCACCTTCATTAACAAAGGTAGTGCTGTGCATGACATCAGTCACTGGAAAATCTAAAGTTTAAAGGGCACAGAAATTAAATACTATACTGTCTTTGGCAATTTACCTTTCAGTAAACTAGTCAAAAACAAAAACAAAAAAACCCCTGAAAAAACCAGGAACTATGCAATAAGGAATACACAATAACTCTACAGAGGGAACAAATTTTAATCTTCCATGGACAGATAGGATAGGTAAGAATAGGGATGGCTGCTAGCTGACTATTTACCAGCTCCAGAGAATAGACAGACATGGAGATAAGCTCAGTTCCAAGAGAAGGAAAATGATTTTAAATATGAATAGATAGAAAATATACCCAATTATAATGAAATAAAGGATAAGACATGTGAAGAGGAATAAGGGCCATGAAAATCTGTACCATGAAAACACCAACAGGAAGGAGATGAATATAGAACAGGGAAGGGCCTAGATGTACAAAGTGCATCCACTGTAGATTTTCAATGAAGGAATGGGCCTAAAAAATTTCTTGCTTGGTAGAACTTCAGAGGAGATCAAGTTTACAGTAATGACAACATCAAATAGTACTTAAAATAGGTAAGTAGGAAGATTCTAGTTTTAGATAAGCTAATAAGCTTTTTCAGGTTTACAGTTAACAAAAACAAAAAAATTAAGCCAAATCCTACTAATAAAACCAACAGAGTCCAATAGATGTCCAAAGCATATAAATAACAGTCAACCCCTTACCTTTAGGGATGTCAGTTGATCTGCCCACATTTCTATTATAGGAACAAGATGCTCAAATCCACAATCTTGAACAAAATCTTTATTAAAATTTTGGGCTCCTCCTTTGCTCTGTTTATAAATTATTACTGGAGCTCTTGGATTGTGAATAATTGAATTGATGCTACACAGCACCTTTAATAAAAAGACATGTATTTAATCAAAATGTTTATCGTACTCCTACCAAGTGATATATGTTAAGGGAATGCTTTATATATCAGGCTAACATCATTTTCAGAGTTAATAATTTTACATATTAAGATCTTCTTAATACCTAAAATTAACACTTAATTTTTTGCTAATAAGCTCAGTTCTGAGAGAAGGATTTCAAATCTGAAGAGATAGAAAATATACCCATTTCATTAACGTGGTTAAACATGTAAGTTCTACTAAAAACTTTTGCAGAAAAACTAAAATGAATTAGACTTGAAAATAGTTTTGAATGACCTATTATAATGCACATGGAGAAGAATAATCACCTAGACAGCCTTAGCTACAGTCTCCACATTTCCCTATTTCTGCCTCCTCATTTGTAAGCTAAATATGATGTTAAAAGAGGCTTTTCCTGTTGTTCATAGCTTTAGTTGAAGTTCAAAGTGAGGACAATGATAAAGTCCCACACATTTTAAAGAGAAGTCCTAGACACATCATGCAGGTCTCAGTAAGAGATGATGAAACTCCTTTTACATAGTAACCAGCCTAGAAAGTGTTAGAGATTCTGAGACAGGACTCATCAGGAAGAGTGTCATTTAAAGCAACGTATAGAACTAGTGAGTAGAAAATGCTGTTTTTTTTCTTTTCTCCCCATAGAAAGCTACAACAAACAGGTCGTCTGAGAATTTGACTTCTAATGTTTATTTATAAACAGCTTTTTGTTGCTGTTTTAGTTTAGGAGAGTGTATTTTAATGTCTCACCTCTATTATATTTAAACTCATCCATGAATACCATTCTAATGGAAAAAATAATTAATTCTCCTCCACTAAATTATTAATGAGATCCTCCTTTTTTCCCTGCCTCACACCAAAGGTAAGGAAGGTGGCAGGGGAACTCCTGAAAGAGATCAGGGAGCTAAATACTACCTGAGTTTCAGAAGATCATAGGCCGATCTCCAAGAGTAGTGAATCAAGTGGGATTAAATGTACATCTAGCAGTTTGCGTCTTTGTAGCATATTATTTGCAAAAAATGGCCACAATTATTTCTTCCTTATATATCCGTGCCTTTTTGGTATTGATACTGAGGTTCTCCCATCAAGAAGTGCAGTCTATTTTCAAACCCTTGGATCTGAGCTGGTCTTGGGCCTTGCTTTGGCACACAGAATGCTCTGGAAGGAACATCATCCCAGTTCACAGCCTAGGTCTCAAGAGGCCTTGATCATGTTTGCTTTGTTTGCACTCTGCTGCTACCACATGGCTGAGTCCAGGCAGGACTGGTAGATAATGATAGACATGTGGCCAGTCATCCCCATCACCGTGAGCCAATATCCATGGAACTAACAGAAGCAATGCCACGTAACTGACTTGTATCTCATAGTTGATACATGTGGGAGCCCAGCCAATATCAAAAGAACTGCCCAGTTGTCCAAGCACAATATTAAAGGGTTATTATTTTAAGTCACTAAGTTTTATGATAGGTTACACAGCAAAAATGAGCTGATATTTATAAGCATAAAGATGGAATAGAGCAATGAGAGGGGGCAGCAACAAGAGAAGCCTGCCTTTTTACATTGTGTAGTATGGTAAAAATATACCATGTGGCCAAGTGGAAACTTTTTGCTTTCATGAAAAATAACTGCATACAACTGGAGGACCTCAGGGAAATATCACTTTAGGACAGAAGGAAAGGATTCATAAAAGGTCAGCTGAAAAATACACTACCCACAAAATGAAGGGTACATTGCCAAGGTCCCTAGCTGGTGGGAAAGGAATAACTAAACACATTTATACAAGTATGCCATGAAAGAGAAACAGAGGCAGTATTCATCAGCTACAAAAAGGGCAACAGTGCTAAAACATACCAGCACCAGTCAAAAAAGATTCTACCCTCTCTGTATCCTTACCATCTACCTGTCACTGCCAATTCTGGAGAAGCCAAATGCAGCAGAGGACTAGGAGAGAAAGTTGAGCAAAGAGAATAAACCGATCATACCTCTTTGCCATACTGCTTGTCTGCAGAAGTACAGGTCAGACATGAGATGGAGTAGACATAAGGTAAAAGCTTTGAAGTGGATGACTGACATTTTGATTAAGATTTGAAAGGACTTTTCTTCCAACTTTTCATAATGAAAATTTTCAAACACAAAAATTAAAGGTGTTTGTGTGTACACATGTGTGTGTATCTGTCTATGTATCTGTATTACTGTATTGGGGTCCTCCAGAGAAACAGAACAGGATATATATACACATATATAACCCATTTTATATATATGAAGAGATTTATGGTAAGAAATTAGCTCATGCAATTATGGAGGTTGACAAGTCCAAGATCTGTAATCAGTAATCGAAGACCCAGGAAAGCTGATGTGTAGTTACAATCTGAATGTGGGCAGGCCAAAACCCTAGAAATGTTTCAGTTTGAGTCTGAAGGCAGGAAAAAACTGATGTCCGAGATGAAAGGCAGTCAGGCAAGAGGAGTTCCCTCTTACTCAGCTTTTTGTTCTATTCAGGCCTTCATCTGATTTAGATGAGGCAGCCTACTCACATTAGGGAGAACAATCTGCTTTACTCAGGCTACCAATTCAAATGTTAATCTTATCTGAGAATATCCTCCCAGACATACTCACAATAATGTTTAACCAAATGTCTGGGCAACCTGTGGCCCACTCAAGTTGACACAAAATTAATCATCACAAACACCATATAATCAAAATCACTACCTAGATTCAACAATTGTTAACATTTTGCCATATTTGTTCACTCTATGTTTTTATCTGAACCATTTGAAGAAAATGCAGACATCATAACTCTTCACCTTCAAATAATAAGCATGCATCTCTTAAAAGAAGGCATATTTTATAAAATCATAACACCATTATCATACCTAAGAAAATTAACAATAATCCCTTAATATCATTGATGCCTAGACTGAATGTTAAATATCTTAATATATATAATATTTGACCATAACCCTCCCCCCAAGAGTGATGAGTTCTACCTTTTATATTATCCAAGGAGAGGAAAGGGAGACTCCAAACAGCATGTTTAAAAAGAGAATAAAATAATTTCCTATTTACCACCATCAAGTCCAGCCTATTTAATAAATAGTACTACAAGTATAAAGATAAGATAGCATTTTCATCTTAAATTTTTGTCCCTGGTCATAATTCAAATTACAACAAATAGGTCTCCTAATAATGACTTCAGATGTTCATTTAGAAGCTTTTTTGTTTAGTTCAAGATAAGTGCATTTCATTGTTTCACTTCTATATTTAAACGCATCATTTTAATGGAAAAATTCCCTTCCACTGAATTATTACTGATAGCAGAGCCATATTCTTCTTACAACTTAACTACTGTCTGACGATTTGCAGCATAAGATATATTAATGATGAGGAAACCATAAAATGACTTAAACAATTCCTGGAGAGATGAGAATTGAAAAAAGTAATGTATTTCCTACATTATTCAGAGAGTTTACAGATACTGATAAACTCTTCATATTAGGGTTTTTGTTATTTGTTTTTTTACCACTCAGACTGTGTCCTCTCCTCTTACTCCCCACAAAAAGAGAGAACAATCATCAATGGCAAATGGCAATAGCAGAGAAGCAAAACCAAAAGCGGGCTTCATGCTCAGGAGACAATGCTGCACCACCTCCTCGTGGTTTCCAGTGCTCTACACATTCAGAGAAACTTCTCTAGTAACAAACTATAGAAATGATCCCTGAAAGTATAGTCTTTCTTGATATTAATTTAAAAAAACATTTTTAAGGGTTATCATTAGAACAGAAAGAATTAAGATGATGAACTTCCTAACCACCTGAGGATTAAAAAAAGGACAAAGAAGCTTTGACCAACCTAGCAAATGTCAGGAAAAGTAAATACAACCAAAGAAAAAAGAACAAGAAACTATGTAAATGGAAAGCAGAAAGATGTCAGGTATAAAAGCAGAAATATCAGTTTGTCTCAATGTTCATGAAAGATTTAATTTCCCTTTTAGAGGTCAAAGCCTCTCAAATTGAGTCTAAGAAATAAAATGACCTGAAAGAAATCCAGCTATGTACTGGAACAAGAGAGATCTAAAACAAAACAGTTTTCAGAAAGGTGCCTGAATCCCATTCACACAGCAATAAAAATTACAAAACACCTAGGAAATAATCCTAACAAGAAATATGCAAGAGCTAAGTTTAAAAATATAGAAACTTTATTGAGGGCTATAAAATACGACCCAAATAAAATTAGAAACATATTTCTGAACGGGATGATTCAAAACTATAAAGGTGTCATTCTCCAAATATTAATCCATAAAGCCAATCCAATTTCAGTTCATCTCAATAAGACATATTAATTTGAAAATTTTTTCATCCAAAAGAATAAATGTGCTAAAAATATAGCCAAGAAAAATTTTAAAAAGAACAATGACAGAGAGTTGCCCCAAAGGGTATCAAAACCTACTATAAAACCATAGAAATTAATATAGAAATAGAGAAATGGAAAGATTAGAGAATCTACAAACAAATCTATGCATATAAAGCAATATAATCTATGATAAAAGCATAATTTCAGTAGAGAAAAAAGTGTTCTATTCAGTTTCTGAAAACCCAAATGAAAATCCATGTACAAGCATAAATAAATGAAGCAAGGATGGAGGGGGATTGTGATTTAATGAAGAGCACATATCCATATCTGACAGGAGAATGGTATAATTCTGCTCTGATAATGACCATGTATGAATTTATTGCCAGAACTTCTGGCTTTTTAAGAGAAGCTAGAAATAAGAACTTAAAATAAAATCCCCTTAATATAAGAATAATTGATAAATAATTTAAAATTTAAAAATCCCATGTGGGCCCAATAAACTATGAGTGAAAACCTGGTTCCATCACTAAATCACCAGGCTTAACTGCTCATCTAGATAATAAATGTTCTATAAAACCAGTAAGGTTTCCTGGGGACAGGCAAAGGAGAAAAAAAAAAAAAAAAAAAAACCAGTAAGGTTAGATTCCCTATATCTTACCACACAGAAAATTAAATTTCCAACGAACTAAATATCTGAACAAAAACAAAACCCTATAAGGACCCTAAGAAAACAGATTTATATAATAATAATGGCAATAAAAACAATAAAAAGGGAAATGGCTTAAAGGGAGAGAGTAGGGAAAAGGATTATAAAATATTTTAAAAATCATAGCAGCTTTTTACTATCCTGCTTTCGAACTAGGCCAGAATCTCTTTTAAAAGGTAAGACAAATTCTAAGTTGAGCTACCTACAATGTTTTTAGTCAAACAGGTATGTTAATGGCAAGACAAGACAAAGTGAGTATACACAAATACAGGATACAAGTATTCCTTACCAAGTGATAACTTATTATACAGCAACTGAAACCAAGATTCATTATAAACACCAATCTTTTTAAGATTCAATACCTGAAAGTATCTCTGGTCAATTAGGGCCTGTTGCTGGCTATATTTGCTGGGCTCATCTCTTTTCTCTGTGTCCTCGGCTCTTTTATCACTAATAAGGTCCTGTAATCTAAAGGAGGGAAAAAAAAAAAAAAATCAAGATAATACAAAATGCCTTCCTAGACACTGGATTAAGATGACAAACTAAGCCAATGATCCAGCTACCCTTCCGACAGCCTTAAGTCATTTTACTTATATATGTGTACACATGTGTGTACATATACACACACATATGTATATATAAAGTTACAAAAATTTTAAGTTATATTGTCACTGGAAAACAAGAAGGTCTTCTCAACAGACTACATATTAGAAAGAATCTCTAAAAGCAAAAGGCATCAGACTGAATAAGAAAAGTTCTAAATATCCACAACACCCACAAAAGACAGCATAGGAAAGAACTACAGCAAAGGATGGAAGCAACTTCCATTCCAAGGTTCTACAAACTTAGAGGCTATAGGTAAATGGAACAAGAAACACGGGCAGGCAATTGGTTTGGGTATTGTAGCAGGAACAGCTATACAGTTTAGTCTATCTCTTTATACTTCCACTTGTGCCAAAAAATAGGCAACAGTGATGCACGGACTAGTCAAAAGGGCATGAAGACCCATGATATCACTGTCCCACGCAGCTGCTATAACTCTGGGAAAAGTATAATTTTTGCCCAGAAACCTACATATGAGTTTATCAACAAAGCAGCAAACCCTTGCCGCTCTCCAGATGTCTCCAAAGACAGGCTATAGTAGATATTTCTTCTCCTACCTTACCATGCCTTTGAAAAATAGTATCATAGTCGCCACTTATCTGTGATTTCACTTTTTGTGGTTTTAGCTACCTCAGGTCAACTGTGGTCCAAGAATATTAAATGGAAAACTCCAGAAATAAGTGATTCATAAGTTTTAAATTGCATGCTATTCTGAGGACTGTGATAAAATCTCACACTGTCCTGGCTCCATCTCACCCAGAACATGATTCATTTCTTTGTATCCATGCTGTAAACATTATCAGCCCCTGAGTCACTTAGTAGCAATCTCAGTCATCAGATTGACTATTGGGGTATAGCAATGCTTGTATTCAAGTAACCCTTATTTTACTTAATAATGGCCCTAAATCATAACAGTAGTGACGCTGGCAATTTGGATATGTCAAAGAGAAGCCACAAAGTGCTTCCTTTAAGTGAAAAGGTAAAAGTTCTTGACTTAAGAAAAAAATTGAATGTTGAGGTTGCTAAGGTCTACAGCAAGAATGAATCTTTTGTTCATGAAATTGTGAGAAGGAAAAATAAATTCATGCTAGTTTTGCTGTCACATCTCGAACTGCAAAAGTTACAGCCACACTGTGATGTGTGCTTAGAAGGAAAAGGCATTATATTCGTGGGTAGAAGACACAAACGGATACATGTTTCGATTGATGGTAACTGGGTTCAGTACTATCCAAGGTTTCAGGCATCCATGAGGGATCTTGGAACATACCCCTCACAGATACTACTATAGTCTCTTAAACCCACTTCAAATTAGCCCTCTTCAATTTGAGTATGCCACCATTTTCCTGCTAGGATCTCAATCCATTAAACTGACTCTACAACTCATTAATGATGAGCTCTGACCTGCTAGTTGTAAAATAAAATAGTAAAATTCTATCATATCATTTGCCTGTTGGAAAATAATCAATGATTTCCCACTGCTTTGTAAACTAAATCTAATCCCCCTGGGCTAGCATTTAAAACTCTTCAGCTGTGGGCAGAGTCAGAAAACTGGCTCTGGTTTAATCCTTGCCACTCGTTCTGTGATTCAAAACTTGTCCGATAACTATTCCAAGTCTCAGCTTTTTATTAGTAAAGTGTGGGATCACCAGGTCATTTTGAGCATCATATGAGATTTTGTACGTGCAAATTGTTCTGCATACAGTATAATAAACAAGTCTTTGTCTAAAAAGCATAAGTTAAATAATCAAGAAAGATTAAAGAATCGTTCTGTTTCAAAAAAAAAAAAAAAACTCTTCATGCTGGCCCAACATCTTCCTGACCTCCCTTCTTATGTGATCTTACTACTCCCCTACACTTACCTCTTCTAGTCACATGTATTATCCTTGATCACCACTCAATTGCTACTCTCTGCTCTATGGTAGGTATATGCCCAAGCCAAATTAAAAAACAGAATTAGCTCTAGGTAAGTTGTCAACCTCCTTCCTCTAGTAGATACAAAGACCTTACAATTCACTTTCCACCTATTTACCATAGTCACATACTTCATAGTTGTACATAAAGGCAGTACCATGAGCAGATTATTATATCTAGAACACAAAAGGACACAGAGAAGCTAATGTGACCTCTAGAGGGAATATAAGTAAACTGATATATCTGAATTAAAATGTTAACTTTTTACTCAGGTGGTAATATTCAACTTATCAATCATTTGCAAATCTGATTAATAAATTTTACACTATGGATCCACAACATTTTAGCTTTAAATATATAACTGCATGTACTAATTACAGGCACTCTGGGAAATGAAATGTGATTTCAATAGCAACAAAGAAATTAAAGTACCTAGGAATATACTTAACCAAGGACATAAAAGACCTCTACAGGGAGAACTATGAAACACTGAGGAAGGAAATAGCAGAGGATGTAAACAGATGGAAATCCATACCATGCTCGTGGATCGGCAGACTCAATATCATCAAAATGTCTATACTACCCAAACTGATTACAGATCAATGCAATACCTATTAAAATCCCATCAGCATTCTTCACAGATATAGAAAAAAAAATTTTACGCTTCGTATGGAACCAAAGAAGACCCCGAATATCAAGAGCAATTCTAGGCAACAAAAACAAAATGGGAGGCATTAATATGCCAGATATCAAACTATACTACAAGCTGTAGTAATTAAATCAATATGGTATTGGCACAAAAATAGGAATATTGACCAGTGGAACAGATCTGAGAATCCTGATATAAAACCATCCTCATATAGCCATCTAATCTTTGACAAAGCAGACAAAAACATACGCTGGGGAAAAGAATCCCTCTTCAATAAATGGTGCTGGAAAACTGGATAGCCACCTGTAGAAGGCTAAAACAGGACCCACACCTTTCACCTCTCACAAAAACCAACTCACGCTGGATAACAGACTTAAACCTAAGGTATGAAACTATTAGAACTCTAGAGGAAAAAGCTGGAAACACTCTCCTAGACATCGGCCTGGGCAAAGAGTTTATGAAGAAGTCCCCAAAGGCAATCACAGCAGCAACAAAAATAAATAAATGACATGATCAAACTACAAAGCTTCTGCACAGCCAAAGAAATAGTCATGAAAATAAACAGACAACCTACAGAATGGGAGAAAATTTTTGCATCCTATGCATCCGATAAGGGACTGATAACTAAATATACTTAGAACTCACGAAAATCAGGAAGAAAAAATCAAATAACCCCATTAAAAAGTGGGCAAAGGACTTGAACAGAAACTTTTCTAAAGAAGACAGAAGAATGGCCAACAAACATATGAAAAAATACTCAACATCTCTAATCACCAGGGAAATGCAAATCAAAACCACAATGAGATATCACTTAACCCCAGTGAGAATGGCCTTTATCAAAAAATCTCCAAACAATAAATGCTGGCGTGGTTGCGGAGAGAGAGGAACACTCCTACACTGCTGGTGGGACTGCAAACTAGTTCAACCTCTGTGGAAAGCAATATGGAGATACCTTAAAGCGATACAAGTGAATCTACCATTTGATCCAGCAATCCCATTGCTGGGCATCTACCCAAATGATCCAATGACACTCTACAAAAAAGACACCTGCACTCGAATGTTTATAGCAGCACAATTCATAATTGCAAGGCTGTGGAAACAGCTCGAGTGCCCATCAATCCAAGAATGAATTAATAAAATGTGGTATATGTATACCATGGAGTACTATTCAGCTCTAAGAAACAATGGTGATATAGCACATCTTATATTTTCCTGGTTAGAACTGGAACCCATACTACTAAGTGAAGTATCCCAAGAATGGAGAAACAAGCACCAGATATATTCTCCAGCAAACTGGTATTAACTGAGTAGCACCTAAGTGGACACATAGGTACTACAGTAATAGGGTATTGGGCAGGTGGGAGGGAGGAGGGGGCGGGTATATACATACATAATGAGTGAGATGTGCACCATCTGGGGGATGGTCATGATGGAGACTCAGACTTTTGGGGGGAGGGGGGAAATGGGCATTTATTGAAACCTTAAAATCTGTACCCCCATAATATGCCGAAAAAAAAAAAATGTGATTCTATCAACCCAATGAACTATACCCTGATTTAATGATGACAATAACTAAAACTTATTGGGAACCCGATAACTAATATTTACCGAGAGCCTTTCTTTATGCAGGAATTCTTCTAAGCACTTTACATGTATTAACTTATTTAATCCCATTGTATTCTAGGTTTATAGAGGATTAGTAAAAGGTGGTAACTCATGGGAAACTGACCTTTAGTTCACTTAGTCTCGCAATAAATATCTGCCATAACATACTAGATTTTCCTGGGTCTCACAAGAATGTAACCATTTTGTTTTATTACCCACCATCCCCTCACTTTTTTTCCCTTTCTGTATGCCCTATTCACCTTAACACATTAACTACTGTGAGAGTTGTATTTAACTCACTCTAGTTTTAACCCCAGTGGTTAAAACTGGGTTTTAACCACTCTAGTTTAACAATAAGAACATCAACCCTTACTTGTTGATGTTCTTATTGTTACAATTAATATTGACAATTCTAAAAACGTGGATTAAATGAAGAGTCAATAAATTTTGTTTTTATATTTGTTTACCTTTAAATTACACTGCACATTTTTATTCTATTTTCATAATAAACCACTGTAGCCCCAAGGAAAAGTTTCTGACTTTTTTTGCGGGGCAATGTGTTAAATACTGAAATTTGCAAATTCCTCTTCAGAGAAACAGCCACAGATTTGTTTGTGGTTTGTGTTTTTCCTGGGTATGTCCTCAATTTTGGCTTAATAATCCGCCATTGTTTGAGATCTTTTTCAGTCACTTATTTTGGGTTGTCATTAGCCAAACTGATGCAAAACACATAAGTGTATCAATGTAAGACTCTCAAAGTTGTATCCTTATTTGAATCCTTTTCTCTACATTCCTAGGATTTTTAAGATGGTCAGTGATGAAAAGAAGGGTTCACTTCAACCTAGCCCCAGTGTCAAACTGTGAAGGCAACTGTTTCTCTAGGTAAAGAATCCAGCTCCTTGACAAAATCTTATGTGCTGTCTTTCAGGGCCAGCCACAGGTAATTAACAAAGGCTTCGCCTGGCAGGCCTGGGGCAGTGGGGGGAGTTGCCCTCCTCACACCAGACTCACTCCCCTCCCTCCCAGGCCAGCCATGAGCATTTCTGCATTCCTAGGCCAGGCATCTCCATTGGGGCCTCTTTACTGTGAAGCCTTGACTGAGGCATTTGTCAGGTGCCTCTGCCAAGATCTCCTTTTTGGTAGAGGGGCCTTAACTACAATACTTTTCTGCACTCTGACTCAATACTTTTCCACTCCTAGCCTTCCCTCCTCCCCATAAAACAGTAGGAATCTTTTGTGCAGGGCTCCTAGGCAGTGAGGATGGTTCCCCTATCTGGGTGCATATCAGACAGTTCCTCACCTGGAGCCATTCTATAGAGAAAAATGGAACATTGAGGAGTCAGCCCTTTTCTTTTTGGCCTCTTGGTTATGCTATCACAGTAAATGAAGAATAGTTTGATTGTTAATTTCAATTTGGCTCATTGGCCTAACTGACCACTTTCGCATCTGTCAGCTCAACACAGAGTAGCAATATTCTGATTTTGTTTTCCCCCAGAAAAAGATAAAGACTATTGAAAATTTAAATGGAATTAGAATAGTACCTTTGGTTATCTTATACTGGCAGACTCATTTGATCACTTCTTAATGTAATTTTATAATAAACCTGTTTGTGATACTAACTCAAGAAGAGTACATGTTCTCCTGTGTTAAATTATTAGCCCCATTTGATACTGAAGGTTTTGTTAGTTTAAGGGTAACTAAAAATCTTTAAAAACAATAAACAAAACTGATTTTCTTTGGTTCTAAGAGGAATAGAGGCTTCTCCCCTCTTCCTTTTCCTTATAGCACTTCTTTTGCAAAACTTGAAACTATAAATCCTTTCTTCTATCTTTTTAAGACATACATACATCCTTTCAAGAGCTAAATAAGCCTCGTGCAAGTTTTGCATCCCAGCAAGTCTTTTTTGAGGGCCTTGGAACTATTACTCAAAGCTCAGCACTTGTCCTCATGGCTACATCAGAAGAACGAGAACAAGTGGCTTGAGGAGAAGGAAAGAGACGTTTATTACTTTGCCAGCAAAGGAGGACAATCAATGGAGACTCCTGTCTAAAATACCATCATCTTTATAATAAACAGAAATACAGAGCTTTTAAAGGATAGTTTCTCAGCTTCAGGCAATTACTGTTCAACTACAGTTGATGATTCTGATTGTCCCATCTCTGCTGAAGAAAATCTCTGTTGGTTGGGCTAGAGTGCCATGGCATCAGCCCAGCTCACAGCAACCTCAAATTCCTGGGCTCAGGCAATCCTCCTGCCTCAACCTTCCAAGTAGCTGGGACTAGAGGCATTCACCACCATGCCCAGCTAATTTTTTTCTATTTTTTAGTAGATTCTCTTGCAATTCCTCTATTATTTCCAAAGATAATTTTCTATTTAAAATCTTTGTCCCTTATTATATCTGGTAACTAAACTACCTTTTTCTCACTTAAGATGAATATACAGCAAAATCCAACATAGTGGAAACTGCTTTTAAATTGTGGAACCAGAAATACCCCTTTTCAATGTCATTTCCCCCATCAGCCTCGTAATTCCAAGCCAAGGTCACTATGAGGTAGCATGAGATAAGCTGGCAAGTAATAAAAATAAATAATAAAATACAAAACCCTAATAAAAGCAGTAACTTTGGTAAAGTATATTACTTGATGTTTTTCTTAAGGGCCTTTTCCAGTTTCTTCACCTGTTGTTTATAAAGTCTTAATTCATGTTGTGTGGGCCTGTAGAAATAAAATCATGTTGAATGCATTCAATTTATCGAATACAAGTATTTAGTAATAAACAAAAGAGAATACATGTTTTCTTGTCGCAAATATGCTTATTAAAATTCTTAAAACATTTCATGACTGCTAATGAGGTGTTTACTAGCCATTTAATATTCTTCTACTGTGTAGTTCCTTATTCGAAACCTTTTACTTACCTTTTGTCAGTCTATTACTTATTTTTATACCGAAGTATTTCAAATATACAAACTAAAATATAGAACACTACAACAAATCTCGATGTATCCAACCACCAAGCTTTATCAAAGTTGAATATTAACAGATTTGTTTCAAGTCTATTTTAACTAAAACATTCTATTAATACTTATACTTTAAAAACTCCATGTGTCCCTTGTTAATGTCATTCCTCTCCTTTCTATACCATAGGGAACCATTACCCTGAATTCATTGTTCATTATTCCCATGTATGTTTTAAAATTTTTACTACATATTTATATAACCGTACATTTACATATGTATTGTACATTTCAAAATCACCAACAGTAAATTTCAAATGTCTTCACCACAGAAAACAAGTATGTGAGGTGATAGATATGTTAATTAGCCTGATTTAATTATTTCATATTGTAGTCTAAATCATAACTGTGCCCTATAAATAACTATTATGTGTCAATTTGCAATTAAGAATTTAAAATTTAAAAAATAGGCCGGGCATGATGGCTCACACCTGTAATCCTAGCACTCTGGGAGGCCAAGGTGGGCAGATCGCTCAAGGTCAGGAGTTCGAAACCAGCCTGAGCAAGAGTGAGATCCCATCTCTATTAAAAATTAGAAAGAAATTAATTGGCCAATTAATATATATATATATATAAAATTAGTCAGGCACGATGGTACATGCCTGTAGTCCCAGTTATTCACGAGGCTGAGACAGAAGGATCGCCTGAGCCCAGGAGTTTGAGGTTGCTGTGAGCTAGGCTGATGCCACGGCCCTCTAACTGGGGCAACAGAGTGAGACTCTATCTCAAAAAAAAAAAAAAAAAGTTATGCTGAGTGAAAGGAGTCAAAAAAAGAGTAAATATCATTCAGCTCCATTTATATAAAGTGTAGAAAACACACACTATATATAATGACAGAAAGCAGATCAGTGGTTGCCAGAAGCAAAGGCAAGAGGGACGGGACAGGAGGAAGAAATTACAAAATGGGGTAAGTAAGAGAAAACTTTCAGGGTGATTATCTTGACTGTGACTATTAGGGTGATTTTCTCCACTGTAATTGTTTCACAGGTATATACACATGTCAAAACTTATCAAATTGTGCACTTTAAATATGTACAGTGTATTGTACAATTATAATTCAATAAAGCTATTTTTTAAAACAACTGAATCTACTCAAAGTTGTTACCCAGTTTTATCTTCTTCAATGGTGGACTCCTATTTTCTCATTTCCCTTGCCAACTCATGTGCTTGTGTTCTTTCCATGACTTATCATGAGAGACAACTAACATGAGTACAAGAGTGTGAGGTACCCAGGATTAGTTTTAGAGTAAAAGGGCTAGAATGGTTCATTTAATATTCTAAATTCCAGTATGTTTTCCTTTTCAAAGAATAAAGAAAAATTACTTAAGTTTCTCTCACCTGGTTTCCAAATCTTTTTGGAGCTTCAGTTTTTCACTTAAAAGTGCATCAATCTTAGCATTTGATTCCTTCAGTTGATTCTGTAATGACTGTAACACATTTCACAGAAAAATAATTAACTTTCCTGGGAGATTATTTTACTTCATTAAAAAACATTTATTAGTGATGCAGCCCCCATACCATTAGAAGGCCTTTATAAGTTGGTGAGGCATCCAGATTTCTGTAGTCTTTTTCTTCTTCTGACTGACTTTCATCTTCTTTATATTGCCTATGAACATATACATGCAGTATATGTCTTATGAAAAAGCTATCTTCAAAGAAAAAAACCTAACAAAAATTAAACCAATCTAATGAGGGTTTAATAATCTAAACATGAATTAAAATTAATCCAAATTTCCTACTTGTTCTCATAGAGAATGGTATTAGACCACTACTACCTAATATTATTAGTACATATAGTGTCTAAAGACATAGACCAAAAGTTACAACTCATATTCAGTTTGGACTATGTAAGATATTTTTTAAAACACTGAATTGTGAACATTAAACGTCTGATTTCATTTATAAATCCAACCTTCTGACTTCTCTTGAAAAGTCAGTTGATCTAGACACACTGGGCTCACATTCCTGCACAGCATCAACTGGCTAGAGCTCTGTAGTAACTGCCCTCTTTAAGACAGATGGGCACAACTCTCCAATTGCCTGTAGTCCCCCACCAACCTGCTTCATCATTTCCACTGTTTTCCTCACTCTGCAAGAGTAAGAGTTTACAACCTGTCAAGTCATGAAATTCTCCATTTTCCTTCTTACTCTTACATACTGTCATGGTTAATTTTATGTGTCAAATTGGCTAGGATACAGTACCCAGCTATTTGGTCAAACACCAAGTCTAGATGTTGCTATAAAGTATTTTTAAGTATGATTAACATTTAAATAAATAGGCTAAGTAAAGCAGATTACTTGTCATAATGTGGGTGGGCCTTATGCAATCAGCTGAAGGCCTCAACAGCAAACACTAAGATCCCCTGAGGAATTCTGCCTCTAGACTGCCTTCAGCTTTAAGACTGAAAACATCAACTCTTCCTTGGGTCTCCATACTGCCAGCCTGCTCCCAAATTTTGAATTTTCCAGTCCCATAATTATGAGTTAATTCCTTAAATCTCTATATACATAGATGTCCTTTTGGTTTTGTTTCTCTTGAGAAAGCTTATTATTAACAATACAGATAACTACAATCCCACCAACCTGTTTTTCTGTATTTAAGGAAGCAGTACCTTCCTTCTTTCTGAGGCAACTGATGTCTCCTTGTTCGTTTACAGCCTACTCTTGCCTAGCACTTTAAATGACTGCTCTCCATAGGTTACCCACCTTACTGATGAACATACCAACAAATCCCTTGAACTCCAGGCAGATTGGCTTAACTAATTACTGTCATTAAAAAAAAAAGTCTTAAACACTTTTTTGTTTTGAGAGACAGGGTCTCGCTACATTGCCCAAGCTGGCCTTGAACTCCTGGGCTCAAGCGATCCTCCCACTACAACCTCCCAAGTAGGTGGGATTATAGAAATGTGCCACTGCACCCAGCAAGTCTCACACTTTTATATCTACATACGTTCTGCTCATAGTATCCAAGTAGTCTAAGATGGCTTTATTATTGTTTTCTTTTGTGCCTTTCCAAATTTTGCCTTTTAGGCTCAAGCGCAATTTACATCTGCTTTATAAAGACTTCCCTGGTCACTCCATCCAAAACTGACTTGCTCCTGCTAAATTCCTATAGTACTTACGGCCTTACTAATTTTTAGTAATTACTCAATTATAACACTATGGTGTTGTTGTTTTTTTAATTTTATTTTTATTGACACTGTTTTTTAGTGTTTAAGTCTCATATTATTTTTCTTAATTATTGTGTTTATATTTTATCAACCTTATTAGACTAACTCCTGAAAGGTTAAGGACCATGTCCAAAATGTCCTATCTCCATAGAACCTATCTAGCACCATGTCTACCATCTACAACAGTTTTATTTGGAAGTCTGAAGGTCCCTGAAGTTACTTGATATAAAGCTGCTATATGAATAGATGAAGGAGCTGTTTTTATTATTAAAAAGCATTTTCTTTTCTTCCTTTCCTTCCTCCTTCCTTTTCCCTTCCACTCCCCACCATTTTTTTTTTTTTTTTGAGTCCCCAAAGTACTAGAAGGAATAAGCAACCAGCACAACTCTGCCACTAGTCTTTCCAAATTTATGGAGTCATTGTCCTTGGGGTAAGAATACTAGCACACATGCTTCCTGAAAGCAGGGAATTTATCTGTTTTGTTTATTACAGAATCCTAACTACCTGAAACAGAACATGGCACAAAATAGGGGCCCAAATAAAATATTTATTGAAAGAACTATTCCATCTACAACTAATAAGAAAGTAGCTATGCTTTAGTGACCTCATATTAAAGCATTTTAGATTATATGTGCTTCATATATTAATCAACATAAAAATTATCAATGAGATTACAATATTTTTTAATACTCTATCCTTATTTCTTTATTCCGAGGTGAGAAGTGTGTTTTAATCCATATATATCCTTGAGTTTTCACTGACATTTTATCTTCATTTCATAAATCTGCATGCTAATTTGGGTGCACTTTGGTAGGCAACAGATCTAATTCTGTGCACTTTGTGGATATATTAGCTATTAATATTCAGTGGCTAGACATCAGAACAAATTATAATCCTTCAACAAAAAAAAAAGGAAATACCCTTTCTGCTGTGACCAATACTTTGGTGATTATTAAATATACATATTTTAATATAAATAAGACATTTTAACGTAAGTAGTAAAATACAGTCAAGATCTTTATAAAAAAGACCTTTCTAGTGACATACTAGGTAGATTTTCATAACTCAGTTTCAAAAGGCTATAAAAACTTTTAATATAATTATTAAATAATAACTTTTTTTTTTCTCTTGTTCTTGTTCTGTTGAGTCTTGTTCTGTTGCCAGGGCTAGAGTGCCGTGGCGTCAGCCTGGATCACAACAACTTCAAACTCCTGGGCTCAAGCAATCCTCCTGCCTCAGCCTCTTGAGTAGCTGGGACTACAGGTATGTTCTACCAGCCCAGCTAATTTTTTTCTATTTCTACTAGAAACAGGGTCTCGTTCTTGCTCAGGGCTCAAGCTAGTCTTGAATTCCTAAGCTCAAGAGATCCTCCTGCCTCAGCCTCCTGGAGTGCTACGATTTCAGGCAGGAGCCACTGTACCTGGCATATAATAACTTTAAAAATTATAATATAGGATTCTTTATACCTTTGTGTATGGATTTTTTTAATTTTACATTCATAGTAATCAATCAAGCAAAGCAACCTAGAAAACAGAATATATTGAATTATTTTCAAAATGAGGTATTAGAGCATATATTAGTATCTCTACATAATTTCAAATTACAGTGATAAAAATAAGTACAGAATAAGTAAAGAATAAGTACAGAATAAGTAAATAATAAGTACAGAATAAGTAAAGAATAAGTACAGTTATTTGGCAGGCTTAAAAAAATTTAAGTGATTCTTACCAGAAGCAATTATTATACACTAAGTCATATATTTTATATATTAATTTCAAAGTATAGATTTTTAACTAACCATAAACATTGTATCTCAACATATTAAATGTATATTGTCCTGTCCTAACAGTTCTACCTCTAGCAATATCTCCCATAGAAATATCTGCCAAAGAATGCAACTCAATAAGATAAGACTGTTATTTATAAGAGTGAAAAACCAGAAACAATTTAACTGTCCTTAAACAGGGGAAAGTTAATTAAATAACAGTACATCAATACTTTGGGAAAATAATGGAGCATTAGAAGAAACAATGTAAATTTATGTCCTAATAAAGACTGATGAAGGAAAAAATTAACGTTGCATACCCAAATGTCTATCATGCTACTTTTGTAAAACAAAGTTGTATATGAATTTGTATGTGTACTGAAAAAGAACTCTACAGGTTCTTAACTGGGGAATAATATTGTAACCTAGGGAGCATGTGAAGGGCAGTGTTGGTTGTCTCATTGACTGGTCAGGGAGGGGGCAGAATGCTATAAGTTCAATGAATATGACAATACTACAGGGTGAAAAACTGTCCCACTCAAAATGCCAACAGCACCACTGTTGAGAAACAGGACACACACCAAACTGTTAAGAGAGGTTATCTCTGTGATGAAGGAAACAGAGGGCAAGCAGGTAACATTTTACTTTATATACTTTTACGCTGTTTGAATTTTTATAAGCATGTATTACTTTTAAAATTTAAAAAACCAAGAGAAAAATAAAATATACCATACTTTTTTTTACATGTTATTCTTTTTAAAGAAACAATTTATACTGTTACCCTCCTATCTTGGGAAACTATTAAGTATGAAATGTTTGATTTCCTTACGTACTAAGTTTGATAGTTGATATCTCTGACATTTCCATTTGGACACTTCTTGTTTTATATTTATTTATTTATTTATTTTTGAGACAGAGTCTCATTCTGTTGCTGGAGCTAGAGTGCCATGGCTTCAGCCTAGCTCACAGCAACCTCAGACTCCTGGGCTCAAGCAATCCTCCTGCCTCAGCCTCCTGAGTAGCTGGGACTACAAGCATGCGCCACCATGCCTGGCTAATTTTTTTTACATGTTTATATATATGTTTCTATATATTTCTATTTTTAGTAGAGACGGGGTCTCCCTCTTGCTCAGGTTGGTTTCAAACTCCTGACCTTGAGCGATCCTCCCACCTGGGTCTCCCAGAGTGCTAGGATTTCAGGTGTGATCCACCATGCCCAGCCTATTTTTATTGAGAAGGTACATCCTCAGTCTTGCAAACACATGTTTTGGCTTGTGATTATCTTTCAAAAAATTTTTAGAGCAATTTTTGCAAAACCAGGGATAAGTAAAAAATTTGTGTTATTTTTATTTTATTTATTTATTTTTTTTCTTGAGACAGAGTCTTGCTTTGTTGCCCAGGCTAGAGTGAGTGCCATGGCATCAGCCTAGCTCACAGCAACCTCAAACTTCTGGGCTCAAGCAATCCTTCTGCCTCAGCCTCCCAAGTAGCTGGGACTACAGGCATGTTCCACCATGCCCAGCTAATTTTTTCTATATATATTAGTTGGCCAATTAATTTGTTTCTATTTATGGCAGAGACGGGGTCTCGCTCTTGCTCAGGGTGGTTTCGAACTCCTGACCTCGAGCAATCTGCCTGCCTCGGCCTCCTAGAGTGCTAGGATTACAGGGGTGAGCCACCGCACCCGGCCTTGTGTTATTTTTAAATATGGGTTCCACCATGGAACCAATGCAGTGCAGATAGCTCAAAATATCAACCAAGTGTTTGGGAAGGATGTGGCTAATGAATGCATGGCATATCAATGGTCTGAGAAGTTCCTTCTGGTGATTTTAATCTTGAAAAATAAGCCATGTGGGCAACCTGAGTGAATCCATCTCAACCTACACATGAATTAGCAGCAAAGTTTGACGTTACTATTCCAACAATATTGGACCATTTGAAATAAATTGGCAAGGTCAAGAAGCTGGATAGATGGGTTCTGCATGAACTAAACAAGCATAAGAAGAGAAATCGTCTCGAAGCTTGCCTTTCTTTGCTGTCATGACATAAAGGTAAGTCATTTCTACATTGAATTGTTATGTGTGATGAAAAATGGATTCTTTTTGACAATCACAAGCATTCAGCACAATGGTTGGATAAAGATGAAGTGCCAAAACATAGTGTAAAACCGAATATTCCACAAAAAAAACTAATGGTGTCTGTTTGGTGGTCCGGTGCTGGTATTATCCACTACAGCTTCATGAACCCTGGTCAATCAATTACAGCAGATGTCTACTGCAACCAATTGGATGAAATGATGAGGATACTTGCGATTAAGCAGCCAAGACTGGTCAATAGAGACAGGTAAATCCTTTTGCAAGACAACGCTTGACCACATGTTGCACAAACGCCACTTAAACTACAGAAGCTGGCCTTGGAAACTCTCTGTCATCTACCATATTCACCAGACCATGCACCAAATGACTACCACTTCTTCCAGGTTTTGGCCCACTTTTTGCAAGGAAAAATATTCAATTCTCAACAAGCTGCGCGGAAAACGCCTTCTACAATTTCATTGCCACTTGCTCTCCAGGATTCTTTGCTGCTGACATAAACAAACTACCATTAAGATGGCAAAACTGTGTCGATATGATAGTTTAGGCTTATACTTTAATTCTACTGCTTCTTGTTTGAGATATAATAACCTACACTTTTGATTTGAAATCAGATATTTCATATTTAATGACCTAATATTACCAACTCATCCCCTTTCTCAGACCTACTTCAGCCAATTGTGCTTTTATAATATCGTAACTTTCTGGATTACTCTTTCCTTTTCTTCAGCCTTTCCCCATCCCAACATACACTGACTTTCACATTATCCTGCAAATATGCTTTAATTTTCTTTGTATCCTACACAAACCCTCTCACCACCTATTTCTGCTACCATTTTATTTCTAGTCTTTTCCTGCATGGCAAACTTCATTCATTCTGATTATTACCAACTACCTTCAATAAACTTTTAGGGAGGACTTACTATATGTCAAATGCTGGGAATTCTGACCAAATAAGATAGCAGGAAGGTAAACTTATAAAACAATAAGGAGGCCGGGCGCTGTGGCTCACGCCTGTAATCCTAGCTCTTGGGAGGCCGAGGCGGGCGGATTGCTCAAGGTCAGGAGTTCAAAACCAGCCTGAGCGAGACCCCGTCTCTACTATAAATAGAAAGAAATTAATTGGCCAACTGATATATATATATAAAAAAAATTAGCCGGGCATGGTGGCGCATGCCTGTAGTCCCAGCTACCCGGGAGGCTGAGGCAGAAGGATCACTCGAGCCCAGGAGTTTAAAACCAAAATAAAAAGTAACTTGTCATACAACGAGACTCTGTCCCAAAAAAAAAAAAAAAACAAAAAAAAAACAAAAAAAACAATAAGGAAGCACATAAGACTTCCAACCACCCTCTCCTTGAAATAGTCGTTCCTTGGTTATCACAATACCCCAAAACAACTCTTTTGCCTATTCTTTCTCTGTATGAAATTTGGAAGTTCTTGTGGAGTTTGGTCCTTCTAACAGGCCTGGTATCTCTACACGGCTGACAAAAGGCACCTAAGTGTAGGTATAAAAATGAACTCATCATGTTCTTTCCCCATTCCTTCAAACTGAGCCTAAAAATTAGCTATCTTTGACTCCTCCCATCCTTTCAACATTTACAGCCACCAATCAGTTTGGACAATTCCTATTCATCTCTACAGCATCTCTCCCTTTCTTTTGATCCTAGGTCAGGCCTTCATTAGTCCTTACCTAGACTATCATAACCAATTACTAAGTTGTCTTTCTGTCTCTGGGTTTAATTTCCTTGCTCAGAAATCCTGGGGGTGTTTTTCCTGCTACATGGCAAGTAGAACCCAAACTCTGCAGCCAGAAATTTAAGTCTCTCAAAGTTCCAGCACACCTTCCACATTATCTCTCCTAAGACTCTTCCCATCATCTCATGTACCTTATTATGTTCCAGACCTTCCAGACTACTTGCCATTCCCAAATACATTCACTTTTCCTGATACCATATTCCTCTGAGACATCCTTTCTCTTACCTCTGCCTATTAAAATTCTACAGTTCCTAACAATCTAGCTGAAAAGTTACCTCCTTCATTAAGACCCCCAATCTTTCACTTATTTCTCCTTACGTAACACCAAGTATCCTATCTGCTCCACCATTAGAGTACATACCACTATCTATCTTATATTTTATTTACCTGAGTATGTGTCTATCTACCTGACTAGATTACTTACTACTATCAGGTCATTGAATGCAGGACCACAGCTTTACTCGTGTGTGCATGCTCTCAGCCCAGTACCTGTGTAACTTTTGACAAGTTGTAGTAGCTACAACTCATGTATTTCTAATAGGGTTAATTCACAATTTTTATTTCAGCATCTCAAACTGAAATTCTGCTTTATTAAAAATCAAATAGAATGGATAAACTTTGGTCCACTGCAAAAATTCATACCTGAATTACCTTGACTTCATCTGAAACACAGCAAGTTCTCTTAATATTTACCTTACACTCTCTCACTCACTCATATTGGTTGTTGTTTTCTTCATTCACCCGTTTCTCTCACTACACTCTTCTCATTGTAACTGTCTTTCACTGCTTCTCTCCTCTGTTCTTCCTTGCCTCTATTTTTCTTTCCTTGCTTCCCTCTTCTATTTATTCACACCTATCTCTATATTTTTTATGTTATTATGAATTAATGTGTTTGTCTTCACCTTTCCTTCAAAAGGATGAAAATCATATACATGTACATGTGCATTATGTTATCTCTTAAATAATTATCAAAACAATTTATAGTTTTAACTTTTTACTTCATATCTTACCTCATTTATTTTTATAGTAAAATAGAAATAATTAGTAAAGATTCCTAATCCTACTAGAGTAAACACATAAAACTTTAAAATGCAATTAGTTTATACTGCTAAGTGAACAAAAAACAAGGTGTGACCTTTTATACATGAAGGGGAATATGAAGATAATAACCATACTGTCTGTATTGCTAAACATAACATTAAACATTTAAAATCAGTTACTTATGGGGGAGGTAAACACAACTTCTCTGAATATAAAGAATTATAGTTTTGACTTTGAAATTATGTAATTATGAATTCAATTCCATACTAAAAAATAAATTTAAAAAAGCAACCCCTAAAAATTGAAATTGAAACAAATAAATCTAACCATTTCTTAATTTGGTGACATAAACACAGAGAAAATAATTATTTCAAGGTATTTCAGAAAACCACATTTTGACTGCATCCGTAATGGAATATATGAACATCAAAGAGAATGGCAAAGAAATTTAAATTTCATTCAGTACACTTATTGTTAGAAATTCTGGTATTATTCTTTTGAAATTATTTTTATGTATTATAGGATAAGCCAAATAAGTAAATATGATATTTTTCTTTGGAATAATAATTTTTTAGTGTTACATTTTAAAAGTTACAAAAGTAATAAAGAGTTTAAGTAAAAATATTATGTTAACTTAAGATAAAAAAAAATCAATAATTTGTTTTTCCCCAGAAATATATAGTTCCTAGTTCTTTCCAGTGAAAAGTCCTAAAATCAATAAAAACAAAATAAAAAAAAAAAAAACTACAACACTCATACAGTGGTCTCTAAATACCATTATTCACTACAAGGAATCAGAGCTCTTTTGAGAAATGTTATAATTAATTTTGAATTATGAGTTAATTTTAAATGTTTAGTATTATTTTTAGCAAATGTCTGATTCTGTTCTTCAAAAGAGCTCTAACACAAAGAGAACGTACAGGATAAACAGGGGGGAAAAAGCAGAAGAAGAGAGAGTTTATAAGGGTATAACCACCCCAAGATAAAATAAGTTAAAAAAAGATGAATCTAACTATATATCAATTTATGTAGTAAATATTACTGTCTATCCAAGATGGTATGAGGAACTCTTTTGCAGAGATAAGCAAACACTCTGTTTTGAGTGACAATACGCTCTTCATCCTCCTTTTTTAATCTATAGATATGCTTTTGCAAAGAAGCAATACATTCTTGTTGCTCCATTCGTTTTTTCTTGTAATGCTGGCATTTTGCCTGTAAGAAATTTTTTAAAACATAATTATGATAAGTACATCTAGGACATGCTGTCCTAATGATACTATACATAAAGGCATTTTTATAGTTTCTATTGAGCTGTTTCATTCAAGAACTTCAGTATTGTGGTTGTTTTTAAATGGGTGTAAGCTCCAAGAACTTTAGTATGTCACAACCCTTAAAATATAATAAGTAAAATAGCTGTAAATTGGGTAAACCATAGTTTGTAATTCCATGAATTCAAAATTTCTTAATAAGGAACTCAATAATATCCATAATATTGATGTATTTTATGTTTAGGTTTAGATGAAAATAATAATCAAGAAGGAACCAATATTAAGGATGTTAAAATGAACTAGGAGGCTGGGTGCAGTACCTCATGCCTGTAATCCTTGCACTCTGAGAGCTGAGGCAGGCGGATTGTTTGAGCTCAGGAGTTCAAGACCAGCCTGAGCAAAAGCAAGAACCCATCTCCACTAAAAAAATAGAGATAAATTAATTGGCTAACTAAAAATATATAGAAAAAACTAGCCATGTGTGGTGGCACATGCCTGTAGTCCCAGCTACTTGGGAGGCTGAGGCAGAAGGATCGTTTCAGCCCAGGAGTTTGAGGTTGCTGTGAACTAGGCTGACACCACTGCAATCTAGCCCGGGCAACAGGGTGAAACTCTGTCTCAAAAAAAAAAAAAAATGAACTAGGAATTAAAATTAAGGTTCTTAAGTGATCGATGATAATTCAGGATCACAAATGGTATAGTCAATTTAGGCATTCATGCAATGAGGGAGACTCAGAGTAAGTCCATAACCGGGAAGTTATCATCAAGAAATAATCAGGCAGCAGGGGGTAGGGAGAAGAGGGGAGAGACAAAAACCTACCTAACAGGTACAATAAACACTATTTGGGTGATGGGCACACTTATAGCTGTGACTCCAGCATTACAAAAGCAATCCATGTAACCAAAAACATTTGTACCCCTTAATATTTTGAAATTTAAAGTATATAGTCTCATTCATTCTACCCAATTTAAATGCATTCCAAAATGAATTAAAAAAAAAAAAAAAGAAAAAGCAATAACCAGGGAGAGTGATGTCACCAAAACAACAGAGTAGAAGCAATCTGGCTTCGCTTCCTTCCATAGAAAACTAAAAACAAAAATCCAGTGCCAAAATTATTGCCAACAATATCCCAGAACACAAATCTGAGGATTACAAATCCCTGGGGCCACAGAAAAGTGAAAAAACTCTGAGCAGAGTTTTTAAGAAATCAAACTTCTGTATCTGCAATGCCCTTCCCCTAACCAGCAAGGCACTGCATAGGGAGAATTTTCCCTGCGGTTCATGGTTTCTATACTGGAAAAAGTGAGATCAAGGTGGACAGCAGGCTACCAAACGATCCTGGGTTCCCTTGCAGGAAAACTGTTCCTGCCTCAGCATACAGCACACAGCAATGCAAGTGCCCATAGGCAGAAAAACCCCTGAGGGCAGCCAGAGACAAAGGGTAGAAGTGGAAATAGCAACCCCAGCCTGCAAAACTTTGCTCTTTATCTCAGCCAAAGATGTTAAATCAGAGGCACTGTTCAACAGCACCACACTGAAGAAAGCATGCTCCACAGGCCCCCTGGGCAAGAACCCCTAGCCAGCCTTTCCACGCAGTCAGGGTATCTCTTTTGAGACTTCCCCTTAGGGGACAGGCAGCTCTCTGAACATTTGTGAGAGCTGAGGCAAACCTGGGGCTTAAGCTGACACCTAGTGTAAAAAAGGAGGCAGTGACCTAGCATAAAGCATATTCGACAGGTAAATTGCAAAGAACCTTCAAGCAAACATATCCAAGAAAAAACAAAACAAACCAGACAGTGAAGATGGAAATAAATAAATCCTTCAATACAAAAACATAGGCGCACAAGAAACAATAGCAACCAGGGAACCAAAACCTTCCCAAATATACAAAGCAAGGAGCCAGTGACGGATCCTAACAAGATGGTGACATGTGAGAGCTCAGATCAAGAATTCAAAATAGCAGGATCATAAAAATTTTTGTTTATTTGTTTGTTTGTAGAGACAGGATCTTACCATGTTGTCCAGACCACTTGCAAACTCCTGGCCTCAAGTGATCCTCCCCCCTTGGCCTTCCAAAGTGCTGGGATTACGGGTGTGAGACACTGTGCACTACCCAAATTAGCAGATTTAAGGAAACTCAAACTGTAGGTTCTCTGCAATTTAAATAAGCTGACAATATAGGTACTTGATTTTAGGATATTATTAATTATATAGTTATGATTTTTACCCAGAACCTAGAAAAAGAGAAGCAAAAACAAACAAACAAAAACACAAAGTAGCAAAAAGAAGAAAATAAGGGTAAAGACAGAAAACAGTGGAATTTAAAACAGGAAAAGAATACAGGGAAACCTACTGCCAAGGGAATTCAAGATGGCAGATGAGAACAACTGCCAGCCAGAGTGTCTCTGCAAAAGAGACAGATTTTAGAAGAAAATGAAAAAAAATAAACAAACATAGATCAGACAGACAAGAGTATAAGGAAAGGTGCCTGAAACTACAGGAGACTCCACAGGAAGAAGTTGCAGAGAAGAACTGGAAGAAGAGAGGCTTGGAGACCAGCGACAACGGTAGGTGGAGCAGTTAACTTTCCCTCACTTGCATCTCAGACTGCTTGTGGGCTCCTGAGTGGTTGGAGAGATCTGCCAACACCAGTCCAGAGATGCCGCCACCAGTGAGCAGTGAGCCTCTCCCAGCTCCCTCCAGGCACCTCCCTATGCACAGACCAGAGCCGATCAACAGGCGCCATATTACTTCATTCTCCCTTTCCCCTTTCGTACCTGTGGGTACCCAGACAGACAATTTAGCCATCACAGGGAGGCATCTCCAAGGAATGGGACCTTTCCTTTTGGGGTCCTACAGCAGACTGAGAAGCATTCAGACTGTGAGCTCCCCACCCACCAGCCCTTCCAGGTGCTGCTAGCCTGGTGACTCCAGGAGAATGGGGCAAATCCCGAGGCAGAGAGACATCGATCTAGCTTGGGCACCCTGTGGGTGACTTGAGACCAGCACTCTTCTCCCTAGAAGGGTCAGGGATTGATCTTCAGGGCCCAGGCCTGCTGACCAGATCCCATACACCCAGGTCTCGATTGCATTACCCCAGGGCACAGAAGGGATATTTGTGAACAAGCCTACTGAGATGTGTGTGCATTCAGGGGCAGATCAGTGTGCTTGAGGGGCAACTCTCCTCCCACGGGAAGGCCATGTGCCCAGCCCAGGCTGTGATCCTGTGTAGGGAACCTCCCCAGGCCTGCATCATAACCAGGGGAGATCCACTGGTTTGAGGTCCTACCTGCTGGCAGAGGCTCAGGAGAAACTGTGGAATAGGTGATGATGGAAAAGAGCAAGGCCTGCTCCAGACTGCAGGTCTCAGCCACATTCGACACACAGACTTTTCGGCTGAATGAGGCTTTTTCAGCCCCTCCTTGGCAGCTCTGCCCAGAAGCACAGAACATATCTTTGCCCCTGCTGACACCATCTGTGTAACTTGAGAGCAGGCTCACCAAACCAAGCTCTGCCCAGATTCACTCTAGGACCTGCCTATACTGAGGATAGAGAATAAGGACACACCTGAAAGTACCAGGGCCCTACCCACCACCTGAGGCACGAGAATGCATCTCCAGAGGAACAAGAGCTGGTTACAGGATCCAGAAACAACACTGCAACCTGCTCCTCCCAGCAAGCCCACCTACTGACAGGGAGGTCATTCTGCACACTCTTTTACTGCATGTAATGACTCATCATAAAGGGTGTGGTCAAATCTCACCCACAAATACCATCTACTGGATCAGAGACTAAACAAGGCAAGTCATTATCCAAATGAAAATCAAAAGGCAAGAAGCAACAACTGATCCAGATGAGAAGAAATCAGCAAAAGAACTCTGGAAGTATGAAGAACTAAATGGAAAACACACACCTAAAGAGGAACACCAGCTCTCTAGCAACAGACATTAATCAAATTCAGAACACTAAAATGATAGAAGAATTTCTAACATGTATTGTAAGAAAACTCAATGATATGCAAGAAAAAATGGATAACTAACACAAAGAAACCACAAAAAAAATCCAGAATTTGAAAGAAAAATTCACTAATTGAAATATTAAAGAAAAATCAAACCAAACTCCTGGAAATGAAGAATTTATTCGGGGAATGACAAAACACAGTAGAAAGCCTCAAGAACAGGGTAGATCTACAAACAGAAGAAAGAATCTCAGGGATTGAAGATAACACCTTCCGATTAAATAAGTCAGTCACAGAGACAGAGCAGAGAAATAAGAGAAAAGAGCAGTCCGGGTGTGGTGGCTCACGCCTGTAATCCTAGCACTCTGGGAAGCCGAAGCTGGCGGATTGCTCAAGGTCAGGAGTTCAAAACCAGCCTGAGCAAGAGCGAGACCCCGTCTCTACTATAAATAGAAATTAATTGGCTAACTAATATATATAGAAAAAATTAGCCGGGCATGGTGGCACATGCCTGTAGTCCCAGCTACTTGGGAGGCTGAGGCAGAAGGACTGCTTGAGCCCAGGAGTTTGAGGTTGCTGCGAGCTAGGCTGATGCCATGGCACTCACTCTAGCCTGGGCAACAAAGCGAGACTCTGTCTCAAAAAAAAAAAAAAAAAAAAAAAAAAGAGAGAGAGAAAAGAGCAAAGCCTGTAAGAAATGTGGGATTATGTGAAGAAGCCTAACGTGACAGTTATGAGCAACCCTGAGGGTGAAGAAGAAAATATGCAAGAGTTGGATAAGCTATTTGAAGATACATTAGAAGAAAATTTCCCAGACCTTGCTAAAAATCTAGATATCCAAGTATAACAAGCTCAAAGGACCCCTGGGACATTCATTGCAAACAAGAAGACACCACGACTTGCAGTCATTGGACTGACCAAAATATCCACTAAAGAGGCCCTTCTATGAGCTGAAGGCAAGAGAAACAAGTAACATACAACAGAA